AATTATCTTTATACTTATTTAGATATGATTTTGATTGTTACATATTAAAATTATCAAAAGTTGTGTAACTAAGTCTAGAGTTTTAGTGAAGCTAGAAAGCTAAGCAGCCGTAACTCTAGGCCTCGATTTTGCTAATATCGATAATGGCATCTCAATGTCGTTGCAAATTGTATTACAGCATTATTATTCTCCTGAGGTCCAAAATCATAAGTCTAATAGCATGTTATTTTTGATACACGAGTATAATGATAAATACATTTTTATTTTATAATTTTGGAGTTATGAGGAATGATTAAAATTCTTTATACACTAGCGTTAGCAGAATTGAGGCAACGTGGGTATACTACGCTTAGGTTGCTTCTGATGAAGCTAAACTTTTCTAAATGTTCGTAACGCAAAACTAGGCGAAGTTTATAAGTAAAGCGGAATCAATTCCTGGCACACAATCTTCCATGATATTCTCAACTACGATAGCCTTAAATTCGAGTAAATAAAAGTAGTAAATTATAGTTGATACTTTGTTACGCATTTAACTGTAAAGATGTATAGGTAGATACAAGTGCAGTGAGCCGAGATTGATCTCGAAGCAATAAATTGCATAGTTTTATGCGTCGGGTCGGACTATGAACGGGAAGTCTTCTATTCATCGCCATCTAATAAGGACGCATGTAGCCTAACGCTGTTTCTTTCAACGTTCTTACATATGTTGTACGCATTATGGCAACAGAATATGGACGTCACATCATTGTTGTTTTTAATTACTATTGGGGCTCTTTTGTTTTTTTAAAAGAAAAGCAAATTGGATTCTATATTTTAAAATCTGCCCTGCTATTCTGTAAAAATTCAGACCCGAATTCGAATTCATTCAAAAAGCGGCATCTGCTCAACCTTGAATTGGTAATAACGTTTCGTGGCATATTTGCATTGAGTTTCGAAATGATATAGAAATAGAATATCTGAGATACTTATATTCAATCAATTTTGTTTTCTATTTTTATATAAAAAATGGAATCAATAGAATTTCTATACTAAATGACGTGAATTCGGACACATGAGTGAATTCGAATTCGGGTCTGGATTTTTACAGAATCGCAGGGCTGCACCGTTATGAGTTTGGAGTCTTTCGTAGCTTACTTGAGGTTTCGTCTACGCATTATTAGATGACGTTATGCGCTAATAAATCGCGCTAAAACTGTTGAAACTACCTATGTCATATAGGTTTAAATCGGGTCGGCGAGCAAGGCACGGTCGCTGGTGAAGAAAGGGATGGGTAGCTGTTCTAGAACTTTCTGGTAATGCCTCGAATATACCGGTAGGGCCGAGGAAACACCTAGAATATTCTAGGTCCTAACCTAGAACATGTGGAACACATGTATTGGATGGCGCCGAGTCTTGCTGTAAAACCCAATCCTTATTATAAAATAACATATCAGACTGGGGTTTCAACACGGGTTCTAAAATGTCACTCTAATAATTCTTGGCAGAAATGGAGCGGAGTGACACCTTCATACGAGACTTCCACCATACCATCACAGATGATGAGTGCATGAGACATTCCGTGCAGAAGCTGGGACATTCTTTAAGCGTACAGTTTATTGGATTGTAGGTTGAACTTTTCTTCGACAGTAAAAATTTTCTCGTCGGTGAAGAGTATCATCCTGGCATCATGTCTACTCAGCGGCAATGGACAACATTCGCGTCGTAACTTATGAAGACGATCGTTTAAGAAGTGAACTTTTCTACGCGTATAGGCCTTTACCTAAAGATCATATTTCAGTATTATGTTCACTGAAACGCGCGAAATTAATCTGCAGAAATTAGTCTGCAGAGAGAGTTGTTTTTGATATCGGCATTTTGTGGGAGATTTTCTAAGGTTTTCAATTATATTTTGCAAGTTATTGTTTTAGTCAGAAACTTTCAAAAAGAAAATTTAATCAATTTCCAATTACAACAGGTAGGTGTTGTAGACCTGCCGTAAGGTTTTCGTGATAAAATTTTTGATTTTGTTTTTTAAACATTATTCGCGTCTGTTATTCCTTGTGACTTGCTTTTAAATTCCAAACCTCGCAACGAATCATGATTTAAAGCTATTGGTATAGTAATATTTCTGATAAAATGACGACATTATTAAAATGTTACGCCTTAGACTTTGTTGCCTTGGATTTGGTGAACGACGGTATGTGAACCAGATTGGTGATCTCAATGGAACATAATAATGTCACAGATATCATCATGACAACATAACGAATGCAGTGAGCGTTGATTGGTGTATTCGATGTAAGTGCGCGAGACGGCTGGCCGGCTCGTTTATGGGAATTGTCACACCGAAGGGTTGATGACACTCAGGGACATTGACTTGTCAAAACTGTGATGTATGTGCACGTTGGTTATGAATATAATGTATGTAATCTTTTCTGTATCAGATTGGTGGATTATTTAATGATATATGTATATTAGGCCATAACGTACTCTGTCCAAAGAGGTACAGAAGGTAGAATTAGAGCTGCTACGTTTGAAAAAATCAGTGCAAACCCTCTAAATAAATACGAGGATTATTATTATTACTTTTGCAACATAAACAGATGTAATAGAATATTTTTTCTATTGCCTTAGAAGTAACTAAAATAATACCACATCTTATAGCGATTTTAAAATGTCGCCATCTGTGAGGATCCCGGGTTGATGCTAAATGATACATCCGAGTCAATATGAAATTTCCTACATAGGTTAGGTAGTCTCTGATCATCATAACATTTGCACTTGTGTGGGCTTTAGATTCTTAACTAATGATATGACTAATGTATGCGTATGAATATTATCTACATATTAAAACATTTTCCTTCTGTGACTTCATATTCCGTCGAAGTAGCTTTTTAATTTGAATTTGACATCTCTGTATGAAATAAAACAGGGAGAAAAAAGCAGCCCTTGCCGAATTTCTTGCCGGTTCTTCTCAGTCTCCCGCCGTAGATTTGTAAACTGATAGCATAGATTTCGACATTCACCACAAATGCGTTATATCTTAGACTGAATAAATATAATACCTTATTTTATTTTTTGAATTTCATTACACAAGGATCGGATACTTAAATACCTACTATAATTTGTTTGTGAATTCGACGTATCAGTAATCCTCTAGCTGCATCATTTTATGGCGGATGTCACTGTCGACAAAGCGACGTGAGGGTTGAAAATCGTCGCGATAAATCTAAATCGACCAATATAAAATGCTGTCTGACCTTCATATTTCACTTAAATATTAAAACTGTCATAACTGCGAGAATAATATAGTCTATTTTTAGTAGCGGCTCCACGTGTGTGCAGGTGCTGTTTATAAATTCAGCGTGATATTTTCAACAGCCATCCAAAATCTTAATTCATGAGACTCGATGCAAATCTGAAGGAGGATGCGTTGCGTATTGTCAGTCGCGGAACGTCAGGTTCAGGATTAAAAAAAAATTTTGATGATGGTCGTTTAATAACGCATACTTCTGTGAGACGCTTGATCGTGATCTTCACTTTTGCACCGATATTTGTACCTTCCTCATGAATTACTTTATTCATTAATATCAATTACATGACATGGACTAAAGATTTTTTTAAAATTTTATATGACTTTGTCACTTGTTCTTTGCCATCTGTCTCTTTGTCAGCCAGTTGCACAAACGTCCATCAAAATGTTCATTAGTTTAAAGCGATATTACCCATACAAATATGACGTTCATTAGATCTTAAAGGCGTCATTAAACCTTAATGGATGCTTGTGCAACTGATCGTGTATCTTGTGCTTTATACGAATTCTTAAATATATCTATATTTTTTCAAATTTATCTTATTTTTAATTATCTGCAGTTTTTATGGACGTAACAATTTTAACTGACGAAAAACAGCTTTTATAATCAACGTAGGTATATACATTCTTTTTTTAAATCTATAATTAAGTGATAAAGTAAGACAAATGAATGAAATAGGCACACTTCAAACACGAATACAATGAAGCAGGAATAATCTTTACCAAATATGTAACTTTGCGAAAAGGAAATTGTAAATAAAATCAAAATACCGTTATCGATTTATAAATTTCACAAACACGAATTAAATCGTATTTCCTCTAAATTAAGGTACATCATATTTTCAATTAAATTCAGACATCAAACTTGTTTTGTTTTGATCGAATGACCTTTCGTTTACCTTACTACAGTTTTCACTTGTAAATTCTTACTTAACACTGCTGACTTGGTAAACGCTAATAGACGTAACGAGGTCAATTAAATCTAAACTATGACGTTATTGTGCACGACTTACTCCACCGAATGACACCAATAAATAGGGAACTTTATGGTAATAACGAAAATAGATTTCATAGTAAATAGTTTTGTTGGTTTACCACAATACGCAGTGTTTAAATCCACCAAACCAAATAAAATCAGACTGTGCACTGAATAGAATTATTAAGTAGTTGTTTCAACCGCAAATTCCTGATTGTATAGATGTAATTATTATTATTTAAGCTGTCGTTGAGCACAAATTTACGTCAGGTTATTAAAAAGTGACAAATTTCCCCACTTTATTTTAAATCCATATGCATTATAGAGCAAAAAATCAAGTGCGAAAATTTGATATATTATGGAAATATGACATGCTGTTCTGTGTACAAAATATCCGTATGTTCTTAGTACGAAAATTATTGAAAAGGAATCTGATTCGGGCAAATTATTCTGTCGATATTTATTTGTTTTATGTCACCTCAAGGAAACTAAGATTTCCAATTTCGAAAAGAATTTTGACGATGCTTTACTATGCTAAGAGAATGTGATGATAGATTAATAAAACTAAAGGTGTTTCCACATAGCGCCCTTAAATATTATGCCTTCTAGGCGTTATTGTATTCTTCATCTTTGGCGATGCTCTTTTTTTAAAGCCAAATTTACACCTCGTTTTTGCTGGATTTAAACAAAATTGTTTTCTTATTTAAAATATTTCTTTCTATTTGTTCACAGAGCCGTCGGTAAAACATGTCTACTCATCAGTTACACCACAAACGCCTTTCCCGGGGAATACATACCTACAGTGTAAGTATTTCACATAAAACAAAATATTAATATTGTCCAGTCGCCAAACAGAGATTTCTGTACGTTGTACTAAATTTACGCTAAAATTGCAATTTTAGTATTAGTCCAAGTTCATAATATACAGAGAATAAACAACATCTAAGAGTAAATATCATTCCTGTTGAATCTCGTACTAGGTTAACCTTTGCCAAGTCTCTTTAATAATATGAATTTTGACTGATGCTGAGTGCAGTCTAAGCGTAAATATACTCCAACGCTAAAGTTTGTTTAATAAAAACTGTTAAGGTTGACTTTGCTATAACAAAATTGGCTTAATGCATCTATACGAATGCAATAGAAACATGTTTGCGTACGAGTGAAAAAATATATATAATGTCGGGTACGAAATGAAACGGACAATCATTTAAGATTATAACCGATTACTTCATTGTGTTATTATTTTTATAAAGTTCAACATATTTAAGCATATTACTACAGCGTAGGTGCATTTAACATCAATTGTATGTTTTGTATGACTATTTCAATATTGCATTATCATTTTCCATTATGGATCGGTCAAATGTATTAGATTATAATGTTTTTCACGTTCAACTGGAATTTAAATTAGCAGAAAATCCGACTCCTCAACCACGCTTATAAAAGTCAACTGCATCTCATGGATTGTGTATTCACCTCTTTAAATAAAGAAATACTTCAACTTCCAGTGTTGGAGAAATTAAGTTTTTTATGTTAAACGCCATTAACGATGGAAGTTCCAGCCGGGGCCGTCCATAAATTACGTCACATAAAATTCATGATTTTTAAACACCAACCAAGACAAATTCTACTAAATATTGTTCTAATGGCACAGTTCGTCGACCCCCCCCCCCCCTAACGTGTGACGTAATTTATGGATGGCCCCTTAGATGAAGTGTGTATGTTACATCGGGTTTGAATGAAATGCAGTAAAGGTTCTATATAGTTATTAAACATTGAGAGTATTTTGATTAAATATTATGTCAACCGAATTGAATCCAATGTAGATAGATCTGCAGTTTCTGGTAGTATTATTACATTATACTCCATTCATTATAACATCAGAAAAAAGAGGATCACAGAAGCAGCAGTGTACAACATTTTATTTTCAAGTTAAATTTTAAAAATATATATAATAGTTTTGTTGAAACTTTGAAAGTTAGGTAGTGTGAAAGAGTTGATAAATTTTCAATTTTTTACGATACCTCGGGGTTGAGATCAGGCCAGCATTTTCTAAATTCATCTTTTTCTCCCAAACCAACATGGAACTAAAACTATCTATCTGTTGTTTTGATAAATTCTAGTTGTAAATGTATATAATTAGAATAGAATCTAGTTATATCTATGCCAAGGAAAAAAAGGTAAATAAAATGAAATTTCGATTATTACTTTTATAACATTTATTCAGATATTATTTGACTATTGATGAAGAAATTGGAAAAACTTCCTGAAATATCAAAGATAATTGTTGTAGGCCACTCGGGCACTGCACCAGCATCGTCCATATTTAACAAAACTTAACAACTAAAACAAAAATATAAGAAAAGAACAATAAAACAATAACAACTTAATCACGGAAAACGGCAAAGCAACAAAAAGGCACTTAACATTCACAATGAATAATAATCCCAGATTACGTATTTTGACTATTATGAATACATCATAATCTGACAAAATTAAAAAGTTGTCCTGCCGAATCGTTTGAAGGGTTTAGGTAACGTTTTAAATTTGGACGAGTTATAGTGACATGATAATCGTGCCGAAACTATGCAACCCTGCTTCTGTAGGTTCTTTAAGATGAACACTTTTTCTTGTAATAGTTATTAAATCATTTAAGTTAGTCAAATACTCATAAATGTGTTTAATAGATAGCTCAAACGACAACGGTTAAGTTTAGCAGCTGGTATTTAAGTGAATATGTAGCAAATTAGCCGTCAGTCTTAAGAGTAACATGATTATTGATATTTGTCACAGAGTATAACATAAAAAGAACCTTACTTAACTTCTGTCTAATGCTATAATTAATGGAGTATAATTAGTTTCTCTTGTTATTTCGTTAGTTCATAGCAGAGACTTAATAAATTCCTTTGTTAAACTGCTACAATAAAATTAATTTAATATTCACAGTATTATGCTTTACAATGTCTAGTCTATTGATATCTGTATAATGAAGTCAAGGGAATTATGGTCGTTTCAATTTCCGCTCAGACTTGCGATTTCCATCGTTTGATGTTCCTAATCTTTACGAACCTATTACTTTTTGCTCATTTATTACATTTAATCTTATCTATTTTTACTTATTTATATCTGATACTAAACTCGATAAGACTCGTAATGAACCTCCTCGTATATGGTAGCTTGCTTTTTATGATACGTGTTCGTTTTCCCATTTCGCTTTCTGCTTCTACGTTTTCTTCCCTGTGTATTTATTCAATTTCATTATCTAATTAGTCTTCGCGGAGATGATTGAGTAAAGCTAGAATATTTTTTTGTAAATCTGACCCATCTGCCCATTTAGTAAAAAACAATTTGTCATTAATTTTATCAAAAATATTTTTAAAGTTATATTTTATACAAAATGGTAGTATCATATAGTACTTCTTCATTAGAGTTCAATATTCTTTCTACCAGCATTCTGGATTTAACTGGAAATTCACTGTGAAGTACTTATACACCGACTTTCAAATAAATACATATGCACAATCGATATTCATTTACACTGCAAATAGGTATCATTATTCACTATAGATGTGAAAGTCGCCAAATAACGTAGCCTGATTTGTAGCAACGAATTATAATAAAAGTAATTGTAAATGTCATTACTCCTATTAGAGCTGGTGAGTTTCTTGCTCGTTCTTCTTATCAGCCAAAGGCGTCCTGAACGAGTGGTAGGGAAAAAATGTTGGACGATTCAAAAGTACTTTTAGGAAGTCTATTTGAATAAAGATTATTTTGATTTTGAGTTTGACGTATAGAAGAAGACAAAAGAGTATAAATTCCGAATTTAGTTATTAAGAAGAAATATACTATTTCAATAGTATTATTTACAGGACACTTCTCTGAATGTATCTTTAAGATTTTCGTTTATTATTACAGATTCGACAACTACTCGGCGAATGTGATGGTGGATGGTAAACCAATTAACCTGGGCCTATGGGATACCGCGGGTCAAGAGGACTACGACCGCCTGCGACCTCTCTCCTATCCACAAACAGACGTGTTCCTCATATGTTTCTCACTCGTTAATCCAGCGTCCTTTGAAAACGTTCGAGCTAAGGTGAGCTGGTGAAATGGAACGTGACAATTCTATGATATTGATATATGAGTATTGAACGTTTACTCATATATCAATGTGATATTCAAACTAAATCTTTTATTAGAATGATAGCTTTTTACGGGATTGCTATTATGTACCTGTTTTTTATTAATTTTATTGCTTTTTTATTTTGTTGTTTTTAACATGGTAGCAAACCTGTAAAAAACTCGGTCAAATGTAAATGACCATGACAGTTGAATCTTGATTATTTGTTTCATTGGAATTAGTGGTATCATTAGAACTCTTTCGTACAGTAACTGGAGAGTGTTTGTCTACATCCAAATGTCGTTTTTTTTCGGGTGCACCGCTTATAAGTTTGTGTCTGGGATTGATTTTGTTTGACGTATGAACATTGGTTAATTATGTGGTTCCTGTGATGATTATAAGAAGTTTTATTTGAGCTACTTTAAAGCGACTTTTTGCTATCAAAATATTGTTTGCGTAATAAGTCGAAATATCATATGACATCACGCCTTTGTAGATTTTGAACATAGTAGTGACGTAGTGAGCTCTTGCTCCTTAACTTGTCTAATATCTAAGCCGTTTCTTGTTAACTTTTCCTTTGTGTGAGCAAAAAAGAGTTTTATCTATCAAAATCGTGACGTTAAGTTACGCTGTCAACCTTCTTTTATGGTTCACAAATCTTCGATCGATCTTATTGTATGACTTTCAACCTTACACGCTTGATGGAATACATTGGTTTGCGTAGCAACTCATACTTCTGTACGACGCTTGACGTTATTAGATTTGCATTGACCCTTAACTGTGAAATGGGTAATTCTCAGTGTGATTGCCGTTTTTCTTGGCAGTATCGACCAAATATGAAGATTTTGCTGTGTTAAAATAAAATATACTTCTAATATTGTAAATTTATCAAATAGATATGTTAATAAAATGCATTTTTATATTAGGTCCTTACATATGAAATTGGCGTTCTGTCGAACTGGCACTTTAGAATCCCTTAAATCCCTAAATTTGACTATTTCAGGGGTGTTAAGCTCAACGACTTATAGAACTTGTTGATCGTTGAAACGTCGGACTTATAGACTAAACTTTTTAAATTCGTCATCAGTTCTGCTAAAACACATTTTCATACATTCATTAAATTTTTAACATAAAAAAATGACAATCACTAAAAAAGTTTTGTTCGATAAAGATTCAAAGTCATTGTAGAGAATAGTTATGTTGATAAGTTGTAGAATCTCAGGAGGATAAAAAAAAGTAGGTAAGGGTCAACCCAGATCAAGTGGGATATGCTCTATACTTTAATCCGGATAATAATTGAGATATAGTACTATTTCGTATTATTTTCAGCTCTCTCTGCAAGGGTTAAGGATGATTATTATTGAGCGTGCGAAGTTTTTGCCCCTTAGGCTTGGCTGACATTAACACTATTTATTTGATCATAAATCATGGAACTCGTGTGACTTTATAAATGATTACTTGAAGATTTTACATGAGCTTTCTCAATATAAACGTTCATTCGACATTGAATATTTTTATGTGATTTTTATTATAGAATTGAATGCTTAAGCGTATAAAATATCAATTTTACAATACTCAACTCAAGACAGTTACAAAGCTACAAGATGCCTATATACCTTAGCCATAGCCAAATTTAGGTAATATATAGATAGAATTTAAGTATTGTGATAACGTCTCAGACAGAACTCGCGAAAAAAAATGTGCAAAATCTTTCGAAAGCTTGATTCAGCAGATCTCAGAAGCTGCAACGAAAATCAGCTCCGAAAAAAGTTTGGTAATGGTTGAAAGTACTAATCATTTAGTACTTTCAATTTAGTAATACGTTACTAAATGATTCGTAGTTGTTTCATAAAAAATAATCAGTCATTCATTTAATGAAACAAAAATATCCAGCAATCGCTAGAAATTTGTTTAGCGCCAGGTGTTCCAGCACCTGACCTCCGCACTGGGTACTGAGTGATTTATATTTAGTACTTCAACATACTGAAATATCAAACTTAAGAAAGCATTAGCACATTTTTGCCACGGTCTCTTCTACTGTTAGTTCAGTTGTTTGTTTACTTGTTTTTTTTATATATATAAACATCTTTTATATTTATTTCTAGTGGTATCCGGAGGTGCGACATCATTGTCCATCAACACCCATCATCCTAGTGGGCACCAAACTTGATCTACGCGAAGACAAGGAAACTATTGAGAAGCTCAAGGACAAAAAACTTGCGCCCATCACCTATCCACAGGTAATATAGCATGAAGTAAGAAGTTTAAATATATGAGTCGATTAGTTTATCATAATTACGACTACCATAGCCGATTGGGTCGGACCCCGGTTTCAAGGTTTCGATTCCCGGTCGGGTCAATGTAGAAGATGGATTTCCTACATTGTCTCGAGTCTCGCGTTGCACCCTCTGCAGCATGGATAAAGACTGGCCTGGGTTTAAATAATATTATATATTTAATTAATCATATTTACTCGTCGATCTTGCTTGCATCTGAAATAGTTTATTTACATCAAACCGTACTGGGCATCAGGATTCTAAATTGCTATACTGTCTTGGGCCTGGGAGTTAGTTTAAGATATCCATAAGCACTAGAGCTTCTTAACTTGAAATCCAAGATGTGCATGAGTATGATTTGATGATAAATATACTTATTTTCTCGTTGTCAGGGTCTCGGTATGGCGAAGGAGATCAATGCTGTAAAGTACCTGGAATGTTCAGCGCTGACGCAGAAGGGTCTGAAGACTGTGTTCGACGAGGCCATACGCGCCGTGCTCTGTCCCGTACAACCGATACGGCCGAGGCGGAAATGCGTACTGCTCTAAGGTATATATTTAATTAAATAATATTATTATATAATTAAAGTACAGCCAACAAAAAGCAATACTAAATGGAAACAATGAATGCGATGTCATTAGAAAATGCAGGGGTGCGCAACTTTTTGAAAACTATGTAATTTTTTTAGCAGACAATAAAAATTTAAATAGTATCTGGCATTGAGTGACGTTATGTATTAATCTTTAATATATAAAGCTTAATTCTAACAATAAAATACGATGGCACATTTTTGCCGGGGTAATGAGACATTGCGAGAAATACACAGGATGAAGATTGTCAATTCCACAGTCGTTTTTCGGGTAAATGACCTTTCGTATCGCTGCTAGTTGGCTATACTTTACTTCTTCACACCAACGAAATGTCTCATACTACATAAAGTACATTTACCTTAACACTGTGCCTTACCATGACTGTGCTATGTACAAAGCATGAACTAAACGAGTCTACTAAACCGAATGCTAAAGGGTATAGCTTTAATTAACAGTTCTTTACGTACCCACTGCAGGGGTTCGTCTTTTCTTAAGGATGGAGAAGGAAGGTGGGGCGATGACCCGTCACGCTGGCATGCGGATTGGAGGGTATTGACGACTGCAAATGCAGCCGAGTATAATACGACAGTTACGAAAGTTGCTTAACAATAACGGTCGCGGGCCGCGGCACTTATCCACTACGCCATCGAGCTACTGTAATGTGTAAAAAATATGTAATCAGTAAACAGGATAAACACAGGCGTCGAGTGCGGAAAATTGTAGCCCCCATACCTGACTTTATAATATCCATTCTCAAAAACAATTTGGGTACATACTACATAGCATAATTTTCTCTAGTACAAAAAGCCATGGCTCCATATGACTTTATACCTAAGTCTAATAAGTAAAGTATTTTTTTCAATACAGCGGAGTAATAATCACTAGAGGAGTAATATGGCGCCTGTGTAATCCGGCTACTCATGTAATCCGACATGCAGCCAGTTGCATATACGTCCATTAAAATTGTCATTAGTTAAAAGCAACATTACCGATACTAATTTGACATTCATTAGAGTTTAAAGACGACATTAAACCTTAATGGACGTTTGTTTTTTATATTGTGTACAAATTAAAACTTATACGCACCAGTATATTGTGCTCGATGCGAAATTTGTAATTGGCTACATGTGATAAGGATATCGGTACGGCCTCGCATGTGTTCATTGTTTACTGTTATTAGAAGCTAATCACTAAATCTGTGATTGTCGGATTGAAATTAAGAATTCCGGACTAAAGGGGGGTAAAGTCCCCCCCTTTAGTCCGGAATTCTTAATTACTGCTAAACAGCAGTACTCTATAATTCGACAAATTCGATAGTTTGATACTGCTCTACAAGATGTTTGTCGCATTACCGGGCGAACATTGTATAAAAATAATATTTTTTATCCATCAGGTTGATTATCGAAAAATATTAAACATGTATCTTTTTATTCCAATGTCATTTTGTCACGGCTTTAAAGATTTTGAACATAGTTGTGACGTAGTGAGCCATAGATACCTAAACTTGCAAATTGAAGAAAAAATATTTTTAAATTTTTTCTTTCAGTCAGTCATCACCAGCCCTTTTACGTCCCCACTGCAATAAATTTAATTTAATTTTTAATTTTTTCTTTATCCCGGCATAATTATTTACGACGGCACATGAAATAGAACAGAGAAAAAATTAAATCCTTGCCGAGATAATTATCAAAAGCGAAGCGTCTTGATTTTCTGTACACATAATACGAGACTGATGTCCAAGCTAATAAAGATTCGGTGAAAATCAATTCAAATAAAAGCTGCCATCTTCTAGATGCGACGTAAATCCTCGTATACTTACGACACTCTGACACGAGGCTAGAGTTATTAGATCGCTATCCTACTCAATTGCACAAAGTTTACCAGACGTTTTTGCGTGCGACCTTCGTGGCTATTTATTGAGTTTTTTTACGATTCTATGATAAGCTTACTATGATTATTATACATTTATTATAAATATATAACATTAACTAGACAAATCGAATACGATTGTGTTGTGTATACTAAGACAATGTTAGAAGTATACTCACTTATGTTATCATAGCGTTAGATATGACGCTATGACATCATTAAACCTGTAATTATGTGACGTAATTAGGGGGCGTCCATAAATTACGTGAGGTGTTTTTTTTAATTTTCTGACCCTCCCTCCCCCCCTGGTGAGATGTCGTGAGATTTTATTCAACCGCCTCCCCCATTCCCCAATCTCACGTGAGATTTTTCAAAATGCAATTTGATGAGTACTTGCGAGTATTTGCCTTGTTGTAGTATCGAGTATAGCTTTTGAAAGTATCGATGCCTACTCGATATCGAAAGTATCGTTCGAACCCTACAAATATGGTGGTTTGACATTCAGTAGATGTATAGCGTCGAAGTATGAATAAAATTATTTTCTTTTGAACGAATTAGTGAATGATCTTAATCGTATACAATTACGCTTAAGATTAAATCTTAAGCATGTACAATCTGGATTAAATGGACCAAAATAGTATTTTTTTGTTTTTGTTTCAATCAGAAAAAAAAATTGCGTGATATTTGCCGAGACCCCCCCCTCTCTCCAACGTAAGTTTAGATGAGATTTGCCTCGACCCCCTCCCCCCCTTAAACATCTCACGTAATTTATGGACGCCCCCTTATGTAATGGCGGATTCTACGTCGTGGTCAAGTTATAAGAAGTAATAATTTAATTTTCATAATAATTAATACCAAGTATTATAATATTAGTTCACCTAGGTCCTCGACCCAACCCAGCACGCGTAGCATGACGAACTCGAGAATGTTTTGTCTACACTCAAATGTCACTTTTCTCGGGTGCACTCATACAACATCTCACTCTCGACCCGAGAAAGTGTCATTTGGGTGTAGACAAAGCGTTTTTCGAGTTTGTCATGCTACACGTGCTGGAGGGTTCATGACCTCTGTGACCACCCGCCGGATTCGCCATAGAGTAAAGCTAATCGTGGCATGAGTTTCTTTTTTACATTTTTTTTAAATTTATTGTGTTTTTGATATAATTTGTGTGTATTTCAGGTAACGTAGCCGTAATACAAAGGCGGTGTTAACAGCGTAGCTTTCTAAATAAATAGATCGCACCGGAGATCCGTCTCTAACGCAGTTTAGACGCGCGTGCAAAAGGACTGCAATAAGCATACCATACGATGTTAATTTTTACTGTTAACGCATATTATTGTAACGTGGGTCGGTGTGAATGAGTCCGTATGTAATCGCTTTGTAATGTATAACCTGTCACTGGCAGTTTTTCATCGTAACCTTTTTTGTTTGAGCTGCATTGTCTATGGAATTTGGATCGCCCATTGCGTCATTGGACGTTCTAAGTTTGAAATCGTCGTGATGCTTTGGATCGTTCACATTCTGCCGTGAAATTTATTTAGGCACTGAATATACGAGTTGGTTACTGCTTTTGTAAATTATGCAGCAGTGTTTTGTACAATACCGGGACCTTATTATAGAGGTTTCGCTAAATTAATCTTTGTGCGGTGTTTTTATTTTAATACAATAATTGTATTTAATTCAAACAAAAAATGTCAGTGACTTTTGGAATTATCAAATCTATATTTATCAAATTCTTTGAAAAAAATAACATGCGACATTCCTGTATTGTTTCAAAGCCCATTAAAACACGTTCGGTACAAATTTGTTAAATAACTTTTCGATGGATTAATAATAGTTTTCATTGATATACTTGGTGATTAGAGAAAAAAATGGAATTGTTGAAATTTGTGTTAGACAGAGATTATATTTTTCGATTTTAATTATTGCTTATTAGTTTTTTTTCTTCCTGTTTGTTATATTTCAATGTAGATGTCGATAAGTACATACATTATTTGTTAAGAATATGAATGTTACGTGGTAGCGTAAAATGGGAACTTGGTTTTCTAAAGCTTTCTTTTTCATTAATGCTTGAGCTTCTGTCAAAGCGTTAGATAATTTTATTTATTATCAAATCAATTGAAGAATTTTTCTATTGTTGGATATTTCATACATTAGAAAGAATACTCAGGCTAACAGAAGTGGTACTACCAAATGTTATTGCAATTAAAAATGTTTGAAATACTTTTTATGTTACCTTCAATACACCTTTTGATTATTACAACTTTTGCTTAGCGACTGTTCAATAAATATATAGACAATTCAATTCTTAAAATTCGTCACAAATAAAGAAACCAATGATCTATCCTCTAATTATTTTAGACAATGATTAACTTTCAACTGTATACCGCTTTGATAGAAGCTAAAATCGCTGAGTAGAAACGCCCGTGCAAATGAATGCCCAATGCGTTACATACATATCGGTGAAACTAGCTAAGCTTAGTAAGGATGTTACAGTTTGATTGTTTGGCGACAGAGGCAAAAAAAATAGAAAGGTTTTTTATGTTGGTAAATCAAATATATCACGCCTTAAAGTCCAGAAGAGTCTAAACCAGTATCTGTTATACCAAGCGGCCAGTTTTCATGGCCCATTGTAAAATAATAACTGAACAATTGGGTTATTTCGGAGTTACATTTACATTAGCAAAATAGACAATTTGTTTTAGTTAAAAAGATTCATCCAAAATATTGGACCGCATCTATAATTTTTACTATTACTTTTTTGAATTTAATTACTCTTCCTACTTGTTCATTAAAGTCTTGATCAAAAAATCTGATCACTCAAAAGAGTTGTTATCGTTTGTCTCGGAAGACGAGAAAAGATCTACCTCGTTTAAATACTTTTTATCAAAAATGTAATTAAAAAAAAATGTTCGTTTGTAATGTCGCCAGCAATCAATAGTGAATGGGAACGATTGCGGACGGTGTTAATTAATAATTCTATCATCAATGGGTACTTTGAACCGCACAATTATAGCATTATTAACCGGCCAAATCGAGAAGGACTCTGTGATAACATGTACGAATGGTGTCCTTTGCGTTTTGGTTGTGTATACTTCAGTCGTGGACTGGGAGACTGGAATTGGAGAAATGCTATTGAATGTATATCGATTTGTTATACATTGAAATATATTCATTTGCCCACTTAGCTGTATTATTGTTGGAGTTTCGGATATTTTTTTCTTTAATTATCTATTCTTGTTTTTGGTTTATGCGAATAAATAATAATTTTCGCTGATAGTTGCCAATGTTTTCTTTCAACCTTTATATGGTGTCTTAATGACGTTACGTGAAAGTTGAAACAGAATATGGTGCATGTAGCACTGTCTCGCTTTAGCAATTCTCCAAATCTTCTAAGTTAGTTATTGGAATGATTTGTTTGTTTATATTACTCACATTTCTCAGTCTCCCAGCGCCTGACTAATGGGAGGCAATTTTCGCTGAAAATGTGATACTGGGTTTAGGCTTTAATTGACTGTCATCAAGGCCTTGCATATTTCTTTCTACAAATGCGACTGATGCAATATCTATTTAAAACAGGTTGGTTTTCTAATTAAAATATAATATGGCACTAAGTTAATTACTGTCTAAATCCACTCCTAAAATATAAATGTTTAATGTAAGGTTACAATATAAGATTGCGTTTAGGTAGTGCAATTGTTCTTGCTTCCAACCGATCATGTTGAGTGTAATTTTTATATAGAAACAGCTTTGTGAAATGGTAATAAAGTTCACATTAGTGTACAATGCAATATCAGACTTAACTGCTAATAAATTAGATGCTTATCACATTCTTTATATCATATTAGACCACGGTATTAGTTATGCGACATACTATTGTACGAAAATGGCAAATTCAAACTTAAGTGCTACGCGCAAATTGACAAAATTTCTTTAAACAAAGCTGTTATCTGACTAAAATTGCGTTCTTTATAATGTACATGTGCAAATTTCCGATGCCAGCAAAAAAGCACTAACAATTGCACTCATACAACATAGCCTTAAGATTTTAATGTATATGTATTGTTCAGATGCAAATATTAAGAAGAATCAGCATGTAAATAACAGTAATTTAGTATTAAACTAAAAATATTATAAGCTGACGCACCATTTTCTCTGGTGTTTGCATTTTTTTATATAATTAGATACCATTACGTGGTGGGGCGAGTGCTCTTAATGCATTTACAACATTTAAATAGAAGCTAACAGCGGAATATTTGAAAACTGTACATTAGTTTGTATAAATTAAAAAAAAAATGTATTTTATGTATTCTGTGTGGCAATATAATTGTGTAACATTTTAATTGGTTCCATTTTAAATGTATCTTTTTTCTCGTGTGTTGATTGTTTTTTTATATATAATTAGAATTTAAATTAAATTTGGCGTTTTTAAATTGAATTAGTTACCATATAAGAAATGTATAATCGTTACACTTTGTTTTTATAATTTATGTCAACAGTGATTCATCTCCCGTAAGCGCAGCGGTTTGGTATTGTGGCACTTAAAATAGGTGAATTGCCAAAAGTATACTAATGTACGTACGTATGGATTTTGTAATCTATATATATATTGCAAAGAAAATGTGGTTTTTATACCGAATTGACACATATAGTTTTGAGCTTTATTTTTGACGTAAATTGACTTTTTAAGCGGTAAGATTTCAAACCTTAATGGTTTGAAATCTTACCGCTTAGATATTACAATTCAATACCAGTGAAAGAGAAAAAAAAATAATTATCTTTTTTTTTAAGTTTTGTATTACATGTAGTATCATTATAGCGATATAATTTTCTAACGTTAATAATTGTTTCTTGGCAATTTCAAGGCAAAAACAATGGTATGGGTAGCAGTCATTTTAATTTTCTATAACAAGTGACTTTGTCTTTTAGGTCACGGGAAAAGCTACTTTAAATGAATCGAAATAAGCGCTTAAATTGCTAATCACAATTCGTTGTGCCACGACAGATTATAATCAACACACGAGATTATGAGAGTAACCAATATCTTCTATATTCTACTACTTATTGTAATTGTATGTAATTAATTTCTATCGATGTTTAGATGATACCTTTATTATTAATTGTATATCCCACTGTCCATTTATTGAGATGTGTCCAGCCTTCATTTGTACAACATGTATTTACGATATTTTATTTTTATACAGATGTACTGTGGTATAAGTGTTTACCTAAAGCCTAGTTCGCATTAAGCTAGTATTTTAGTCTAGTAGCATAAATACTCACTACTGCCCAAAAATCGTTCGCACATTCTTCGAGTACAGTTCACAAGTGAGTTATGTTTTGCAAGATGAACAGCTTACAACGCAATAAAGTAAATAAACTGATTAAGCTCATTATAACGGCTATTTTAGAAGAGGTGGATGAGGAAATTACTTTTCACCAAATCCGGGTATATTCATTTTATTTTCTAAATCCAATTATGCGGATTGTTTATTTTTATAATGCGGGGACTTAATATTCCACAAGCATTCATTTTCCAAATATTTGGAGACGAATTTTAAAGTTGTTTCTTCGCTCCAGCGAAACGACATTTTTAGGCAACTAATGAACTCTACTAATTTGACAGGTGCGGACTCGTTTAGTCGGTGATTCGGTAAGCGCGGACACGTGGTGGGAGGTACTACTCGCCCGAAAAAATAGAATAAAATGGATCGACTCGACTAAATTACTTACTAAGCTACTAGATTAAATTTTTGTTGTTCAGACACGTTTTGTTACTAAACTACTCGCTACTAGACGAAAATACTAAATGCGAACTAGGCTTAAGCGCTGTGTGTCATGATTCGTTTATTAGTTTTCGCTGCCGATGAAATTCTTCCAAATATTGCCTATGAAGCCTCTGAATAATTCAAAATATATTTATATTAACTGTTCAAGTGTTTGTTTTATTTCTCCTTATCTCTTATTGACAGTTAGCAACTGAAATAAAGTATTTATCGCGTAATGGGAATCAGTGAAATTATCAATATGTAGTATTATTTAGTTATTGCATAACATAAGATTACATATATCATTTATATGTATTATATGTTTAAAAGTAGATAGATATCATTTGTATATAAAAAAATGTATGTTGCGATTGATTTGAGCTACAGATTTTAGGTAAGATTAAAATTTAATGGATGGAAAACTATATAATTGTGATGACCAGTGGTCGGAATTAGGTAGAGTTATTCATGTACTTACACTGATTTCATACAGCGAAAGAATAAAGTGGATATGCCTCAAATCCCGAGATTAATTTTAAAGAGCAGAAAAAATCCCGTGATTTTTTAAATAAAAAGTTATTTACTTTTACACAATTTCAACTACTGCACGTACGACGTTGCCAAACTTACATCAATGACAGAAAGAAATAAAGAAATTCCGGGAAGGTCCACATTAATATCAACATTTCGATGCAAGTACATAAATAACTCTACCTAATTCCGACCTCTGGTGATGACTTAAAAAATGGAATAAATAAAAATCTATTTGTTTCATTTTTATAAAGGTGTCACTGATTATACATTATAATTATTATTATTGAATTAAAAGGGGCACTTTAAGGATTTTTTAGACCAGAGCCATATTCCAATAAATAATACAACTAGCTCACTTTTAATAGCAATTTATTTGGACTCGAAAGTTTAGTACAAATAATTTACTTTAATATCATCGTTAAATTACGCGAAATTGTGATCATTGTTACACTAATAACAAACGGTTAGACAAATAACACAAGATACGACTTACAATGTAAATCTACATAGTCAAAACTTTAGTATCTTACAAATATAGCAACAATAGCATCACATATTCTACTACATAGTAATAGCATTAATAATAATACCACAGTCCATAATGGTTGTCACAGTTGATCAACTAGTATAGATATTAGAAACCAATCGTGATATGCGGGCCTAAGCTGCTATATACTTTGCTTGTGGGACACGAGTGGTCAAGAGTCGTATATTTTTAGCTAAAGTAAATACACTTAATTCAGTATTGTTTCAATAATAATAGCCTATACATTTGAGTTATATGGTCATACGCGTACTACCAGTAAGAAAACGTGGGATAAGCTAAATATAAATATATTTCTAAACAATAGAGGCTTTCTAGCTCAACGTCCAAAGCGTTGATCTACTGTAAGTTTTTATGATGTGGTAATATCAATTGCGTGTTATCTAAACCGGTGGCGAATGTAGATACTAAGGGAATGGACTTGAATCTTGAAGTTAAACACGTTATCCATTCAGTCGTCAGTGAGGCACTGCCAGTGAGCAGTCCACTACGCCCACCGATACATTGCGAACAAACCAGTTTGATCCTTATCGGAACGTGTTAGATATCAGTTTCATAATGGCAAGCGCACTTCTGAGTAAAGAATTGCCCGACATCGAGGTCAGTGCATACAAAAATAATTACAACACCCGTTATTTATTAATACCAGTGCATAACAGTATATTTTTTTAATTACTTATTTGACTCATTGGTAAATGGAGAATGTAAATTATTGTTTTTAAAATTTAATTCCTATCATAAATCTTATCTCTCTTTGGCTTCAATTTCATAAACAGTTCATCGTTTGACAATAATATCATAGTATTTCTCGTTTCAATATCTAATCGCACTTTAATATAATTTAACTCAAAAGCAGCGAATAAATATCTATCAACGTACCTTTTTCATATAAAGTTATTAATATTAGACAGTAGTATCATTATTAATCTTATTATTGCTTAATAAAAGTAATTGTGGGTAAATAAAGTAACTGAATCACTCATGATCTTAGTTAATATGGAAATTTCAATAAAATTGCGTTATTTAGTAAACAAATGTTTGACCTACAGTATCATCACGGCATTGTCGTAAATGCTGATTTATCCTATTTTATGATAAACAATCTTGCGACAACGTCTTATTTATCAATGGTTCAAGGATGATAACATAATACTTATTATAAATAATATGAGTTTTGTAAGATTGTTTTATGTAAAATATTTGTAAGATTATTTTTTATGAAAACAAAAATAAGAATTTCAGTATTTGCTCTATGAGAATTAAATATCAAAAATGAATCTAAAAGATTTTCAAAACGATTTTATGATGGAAACATTTTCAATCTTGCCTTTTAAGTTGCCGTACAGTTTTTGAGGCGCTAATGGTGCAACTAATTACTTAGAATAAAAAAATATTTTTTAAATAGGTAAATATTAATAGTAAGTAATAATAAAACATTTGCCTTACAGAACTTATTGAAATTGAATCCTACTGTCAAACCTTATACAAATCTGGTGCCATCAGCTCAAACCAAGAAGAATAAACAACATTGGAAGAGGAATGCTGACAGAAAATGCACAGTAAGTAATTTTATACGCAAGAAACTTATATGTATAAGATTTTTGTTTACAAATTTTACCAGTTAATTAGGCAATACGACTATTCTAAAATAAACAGTGCCAAAAAGTTCCTATACAATTTTTATAGGAACACTACTTACTTAAGTATCTTACTTTTGGATATTTGGTGCGTGGGTATTCTGAATTATTTAATTTAAAAAACAGAATAGGCTAGATAGCAATAAACTTACAACTTGTTTTAAGTTTCTACCTAATATTTAAATTTTATGTAAAGATTAATCCTACTAAGAGTTTCCCATACAAAAAAGTATATTGCATCCACTCCTGCAGTCTACACTCTTTATCGTTTGAACCTTAATAGACAATTAATCACACATGTTGGAACCTTGTCCCATTTGTGTCCCCTGTTGCTACTCAGTTGATTACTATCTTCGTAAGTGTGGGCTACTAGAAGAGTAGGCGAAAGGATGTACAGAAAGAAAATAAGCCGATTTATGTGCGTGTGTATACACAACGTATAGTGGTACAAAATGCAATTATTAAGATTCAGATGGTTATCCAGAAGTGTCAAACTGCAGTAAAATATTTATAGCTAGGTATCTGGAACCTATGAAATGTCGGCCCGGCACATTTTGCAAAGACCTTAAGTGGCACAATAAGAAGCATTTTTGAAATTGCTAGCTTTTTCCAAAAACACAAATTAAATCATAAAAAACTTTAAAAAGACATTAGTTTCTAGATATTAAGTATAATAAATATTTTAGAATTTCTGCACCGTTTCATAAGCACCTCTAAAGTGTTTTAAATTTAAATTTTTCAAACTTTTCTTGGCTTTGAGGCGCGATGCCCTTTGCACTGCGAGGCTACCGCCCACCTCCCACACCTTATCACACATTATCTACTAACGTGCACTTCCTAACTACATGTAGTTAACCCAAGTCCCGAACCAGACCTGCAGGCCTTTAGCAGGCTTTTGTTTAAGTATCTAATAATCGCATCACAATAGAATACCAATGATTTGCATTTTACCATTGTACCTACCTAAAGTCCAATAATATTTTTTTGTGCAATGTCTTCTTCACACATCAATGGTGATACTCAAACATTAGCAGGATTTCCATGAAGGTTCTTTCGCAGCTGCGGCCTTGCGCTGCTAAGGGTTTCGCAATGGTTTGGCACTTCATGGGCAATGTTAAGTTTGGAAAATGTGCACGGACCTAACCTGAATATTGATAAAACGCAAGAGAAATTCGAAAACATAGTATATTCTTTGATCGATGCGGGATGATTTTCTTATTTTTATTTATTGAAACCATTATTAAAGTATTTAGCAACAGACCTCTTCTTGCGGAACAAGAAGAAGTTCTTTTTCATTAGCGGGCCTCTCAAAATGTACTCTTCCCACATAAAATTAAGTTTTGAACCGTCATTAGTGTCGGTAAAGCCTCTACCGCGACAAAAAAATACGCTTCCGAATGACACGTTGTTGTTATTAAAAACGACACAGTTTTAAATACGTAGGTATATAGATATCAATGAATTTGCTATCTTGTTATTATCAGACATAACAATAATTTGTAGTCAGGTATTAGGTATGACGGGTATTTGAGTCGTATAGTATCAAAGACGGCAAAGTAGGTCGAACCAAATTTTTGGCAAATGAGAAAAAACCACACAATCGCATTTTAGACGAGGATTTTCATAGAAGGTATTTCAATGTAATGTTTGGTTATGATAAATGTTAATGAAGACTAATGTGAAGACTAACATGAACTGAAGACATCGTAATATGCAAATAAAGTTGCTAGATTACCACCTTTGATACTCAATTTTAAATATAGCCGTATTTGAAACTAAACTTGGTAAATATGGCCGCATTTGACACTAACCAAATGTCATAGAAACCGCATTTGAATTTAACAGTTTAATAGAAGAACAGGGTTGTCAAAATAAAATAATTATCTTTAAAGTAATTTTATTAGAAAATAATCAGAGACGAATTTTAAATCTTGCGTCTTGAAAAATAAGAAGTATACCTACGCACTTTAATTTTTATTTAAACGGTTATTAATTTACTAGCCAACCCGATGTCCTTCGTATCCCTATCATCGCTTAAATCTTCCCTGGACTACAACAAACAGTTCAAAACTAAAGTTGGCTCAGCCGTTCTCGAGTGTCGCGAGACAAACAAACAGCAATTGATTTTATATAGGTATTAGTTATATAATATAAAAATAAATTTTATAATTGAGTATAGAGTTGCCCGACCCTGGATAAGAACTTCGATGATATCAAACACACCACGCTGTCGGAGCGAGGCGCCCTGAGGGAAGCCGCGAGATGTTTGAAGTGCGCAGACGCACCGTGCCAGAAATCGTGCCCCACCCAGATCGACGTCAAGAGTTTTATCACCAGCATCGCTAATAAGGTAAATTATTATCGCTCAATATAGTTTAGAGTACGATGGCGCAGTGGTTAGCGTGATCTGCGATATGGTTCTTAAGCAATTTTCTCCATGACTGATCATAGGATGGGTGATTGATTCTGGTGCATCAACAGTATAATACCTCCAATCCACACTGGCTCGTGTGGTACGTTATAGCCGTAAAGTCATGGCCCATTGTTCCTATTTGATTTGATTCTATTCCATTCATAGGCAATGCCTGAGCCCCAGCATTTGAGATATTAATATGCTTTGTGATTATGTTAATATCGCTGCACCAAATTTGATGAAGTACACAATATATCTAGCTTTTCTTCAGTCTTTTTCCTTTCAGCTTTCCCAGTCAATGCTAGAGTAATAAAAAACAAAGGTACTACTTATATAAGCCAGAAAAACAAATACGGTCTTGTTACTGGCTTATTTAAGGAGTGCCTATATAAAATTCTGACATATTCTAGATCTGTTTTCTCCCACGATACTGATCATTTTCTGTCAAAGCAATAACTCTATGGAACTCTCTCTGCCTATAGATATTAGACCCGCGCAGTCACGGAACTCATTTATTAAATTGATAACAGATTTTTTTTTTTAAGTTGGACTATTCTTCCTGAACTTGCACTTTATCTGCTACTTTATTATCGTATATTTTAAATCATGCATTTGTACTCATAAATATTCTCATGTGTTGTTCCTCCTAATGTACTAAGACGCCGTTAATTTCCATAATTGGAATCATTTGTATCACATTGGTATCACCTTTAGCTTAGGGTAGCCTGGTAAAGATTGCTACCTTAGAAATAACGCCGCCTTTTGCGCTTAGATTTATTTCATAGTTCAATAAAGAATATTCATTCATTATTAATATAAAGGATTGTTTTAGAATTACTATGGGGCAGCGAAGGCGATATTATCAGACAACCCATTAGGTTTGACGTGTGGCATGGTGTGCCCCACTAGCGATCTTTGCGTCGGTGGCTGTAACCTCCACGCGAGCGAGGAAGGCGCCATTAATATCGGTGGACTGCAGCACTTCGCTGTTGATGTAAGCTCTTATTTCATCGGACATAATTTACTGAGACACACTGGATTCTCTGCACGTTAGCTCAGCTTGTGTATTATAAACTAGCACCACATAAAACAGACATAAAACGATAAAGAAAATTTAGCTTTCACCGATGCAGGTCTTCGTTTTTGATCATATTCAAGAATTGAATTCTTGCTATATATTACTATACTAGTTGCTATATATTACTATACTAGTATAAAGAATGCAGTCTAATAAAAGGTCCCGACTTACTCATACGTTAAATGACAAAACAAGGTATCAACAATGCTGTTATTAATGTTATGGGTCGACATCATTTACAGTAATTGATATAACGTTTGTCTTCTTCAAATCTTACTATTGGAGATGTATCAGCAAATATTTCTGGAATGATTCCAGAGTTTTATTCCGGTAGTAAGCTGGTAACTGAAAATTATCTGCGCGGATATTTGGCTTTGATGAGTACATAGACATACCTTCTGCATTTATTATACGAAATTTTCTGACTCTCCACTGATTTCGAAACATTGCATCAGATTTTCATGAAAATGGGCATCCATCAAACTTTGGACCCGAAAACGAAACCGCTGCCGAATGGAGGCGACCAGAAGATAGCTTTGTTAGGTGGTGGCCCTGCAAGCATCAGCTGCGCGTGCTTCCTGGCCAGACTTGGCTACAAAAACATCACTGTGTACGAGAAGGAAAAGTACCTCGGAGGACTGAGGTAAGTTATTAAAAAATAAATATTAGATCTCAATTAGCTAAAGCACTTGTTTTGTGGGAATCTGGAATAACGAACAACCAGAACATCCAGACCAGAGACAATATATAAAAGTTCATTCTCTACATTGACCCGACCGGGAATCAAATCCGAGATGGCACCTTGTAACCAGCATGCAAGCTAGTCGTCTACGGATATTATAAATATAAAGATAACTGGAAAAAATATCTAACAAAAATAGAAAAAAAAAGCTATTCCAGTTGCTTGACAAATTTTAAGGGGTTTCAATAGTAATATCTATTGAGATTTCAATTTCTAATTCGACATCTCTGTATGAAATAAAACAGCTACAGAAAAAAGCATGCCTGCTAAGTTTCTCCTAGAGCAAATTTACGAATCTTCGACATGGAGTTCCGAATTTCACAATTAATTATAACAGTCTAGACTGTATTTATGATTTTAATTATAACGTTGGTTTCCCTGTAGCATTTTGGTGCGTTAATTATTGCAGACTATAGTAGTGTAAAAAATATGAAAGCTTCATATTAAAAATCCGTAAAACACAGTATCGTATTTGCCTTTTCTCGACCATCAAAAAAGTTCAGATACCAATCAAGAACTAATAATCAAATTCTATTTACAATCTATGCATATTTTAACATATTTAATTACTCTTTAACATAAATGTAAAAGTCTGCGTCCTTAAATAAGAAATATTGTAACTTAAACATAGGACTGCCAACCGAAATATAAATATAAAATTGTATGTACTTCAGTACTGTTTCAGGTATGTGTACTATATACTGTTTGAGAAATATATAGTATGCAAAAATACAATATTTAGAATACCAAAAGCTAACAAATAAATACTTCCTTTTAAAACATATGAAGGCAAATATGCGACGTGTACTTATATCCGAACGCATTTAAAATTGTACGTTATTATTTAATTAATTATTTTATTAACAATATATATGAAATCTTTGCAAATGTAAAAAGATTTCTTTTCACAAATTTTCACAATTATTGTAAGTTTATCAGCTAAGTGTTAATGTTTAAAATCATATGGAGTTTGGCAGTTTTGTATGGGGAACGATTCCATCGATATCTCAGTAATAGGAACTTTGTAAGGCTCGTGATGATATCGACATTGGTAATATAATTCAATAAAAATACTGAAATACTTTGCTAGTAGGTATATAGTTAGAATTCTCGCAGGTTATTTATTAATCTTTTAGAATTTATATTTTTCTCGAGTTTTCTTACTTTGCCCAACCACTAAGTAAATAGGTGGATATGTCCATTGTGCCTCACCTCTCTTGCGTTCGCGTTAAGGCGCGCGCACATCTGAAGCGAAGATAATGAAACTGCGCCGGACTTTGAGACTGGGAGTTGTATGTTATAGTACCTACAGTCAACAACAGCAAATCTATCAAATTTCTCTACTCGATTATAAACCGTAATAGAGATTCCAAAAAACTATATTGCAGAAGTGTAAAGTGCAGCCATGTGTAGCATATTTTCATTTTCGATTGACTGTTAGATGTCTATTAAATTATACGATCAAGTCTCGCTTACCTTCGCACCCAACAAGACATATTGTAAGTTGAAAATATTTAAAATTTCACGCTGACACATAAGTACCCGTAATCATAAATTAAATGTTAGTTAACGCCGTTAGTAGAGTGGGAAACAAACAGAAAAACATCAAGAAATTCACATTTATATTTATTTTACCAGCAACAGTACGTATACACAGTGAATTTATTGTGTGCTTCTTTTAGTTCTTCAGAAATACCGCAGTATCGCCTACCCTACGATGTAGTGCAATACGAAATAGAACTTGTGAAAAATCTTGGCGTCAAGTTCCTCACGGGAAGAAAATTATCTACGCAAGACTTAACTGTGCAAGTAAGCATATTTGTAATGAATATATGTAAATTGAATATATTAAACTCACACGATTTGTATACATTATAATTATATGTAGTCGCCACCTCTACGTACAATAAAATCAAGTGGAGGGTACATCTGAAAATCTGTTAAGAACATTATTACCGGATTACCCTCACGCCTCAACTAAAATCAGAAGACGACACCCGCCAGGTTCTCCAGCCTCCTCGTGACAACGGCTGCTGTAAAGTAGCCGAAACGTCGAGGCAAATTAATAGTTTAAAATAATACACGAACAAGATCCGATTACATATAATTATAATATGTAAATTTATTATACGCCGATTGTATAACTAAACTATCAAATGCCATGTTCTATATTTATAGTGCAGATTGAATAAATGAAATGGATTATTATTGCTTTTACTTTGAGATATTCATAGCTTAATATAGTGCCGTAGAAAAATTTTACTTGTAACAAATTATTGAATGAAAATCCTTTTTTAGGGTCTTTTAGACGATGGCCACGCAGCTGTGTTCTTGGGCATTGGTCTACCGGAACCTAAAAGTGTACCAATATTCAAAGGGTTAACTCAACATATGGGTTTCTTCACCAGCAAAGATTTTCTACCTCTAGTTTCCAGGGGTAGCAAAAAAGGTAAAGTGGGTACTCAAATCAGATTTGTTTTAAATTGTTTTACAAAAACAATATTGTAATGTCGAGAAATGAATTGCAATATTGTCAGTTATATGTATATATTAATATATAATGACCAACTCAAGATAACTCGAGTGAATTTACCATCGAACTACCTTTGTTCAGCAATGAATCAACGTTTTAATTACTCATGCGTCATACTTTGGTTTTGAATTAACATTCAGTCTCCATTATCGACTAATCTTAACCATTAAAATCTATTCTTAATCAAAAATACTTTAAAAAATTCACCAGCCCCGGGTACTCTGAGATAGAACTCGTACACACGACCTTTCGCAATCCGGGCTGTTGCTCTAACCACTGAGCTACCAGGACCTTCTTTTTTTTGTTGTCGCTGAGAAATGCGTTACGCATACCCGCTTAACAGGACTGACGAATCTTTCAAGTACTTGTCACTTTTTCGCTACTACAGGGGCTCTATTTTTGAATCATTCGTCTCGCGTCGAGCGCTCGTTTTCTACTATCACTCGCATACAACGTTCGCTAAGCGACGAGTGGTTCATACCATTCGTTGCAGTCGAGCGATTTAGAAATGGCGAATTTGTTAAGTCGAACGAAAATCAGTAGAAAACGAGCGCTCGACGCGAGACGAATGATTCAAAAATAGAGCCCCAGAGCGTATTCTCATCAATGTTCAGGCAATCCATCCATACAGCCGAAAGAAATATTTTTTCAAATATTTTATTTATTTTTATAAATCTATATTAACGAATAGCACAAGATGTATACAGTTTATTAGTTCATTGTAATGTTTGGAAAGACTGGGTAAAAAATAGTGAATCGAGAAATATAATAGGATTCTATAAATAGAACGGACTAAAGTTCGTCAGTCAGATAATAGAAAAATATTAGGTACGTATTTTTTATTAAAATTAAATAGGCATTAAAGCTAAGGAGTGGGGGCTTGTTTCGTCATAGCTTCGTAGAAAATGTAGAAAAGCGTGACGTCATACGACATATCTTATCAATGTATAGCAGTCATTTATTGTTTATGCAAAAATAAAAATAGTTGAAACAATTTTTAATCAGTTTCATCTCGTTTGTATTCAGTTTTAGACAATTTGGTCCCTTTACAGGTCAATCAAGTATCAATCAATAAATTTTGTATTTTTCCCAATTCAAAAACCGGGCGTAAATCAGGTTATTCGGTTCTCAGGTATGTGCGCATGCAAATCATCGTTGCCCGAACTATATGGTAATGTGATAGTGCTTGGTGCCGGTGACACTGCTTTTGACTGCGCCACTTCAGCACTCCGATGCGGTGCTCGGAGGGTATTCGTGGTGTTCAGGAAAGGATTCAGCAACATCCGAGCTGTACCAGAAGAGGTGAAAAAGAAATAAATATATTATAATGTTTGACTAATAGAACGAAAGAGATAGAGTACATCGGTGACCTTGCATCTAATTGGGTATAATCCCCGCAAATTGCTAATGCGCCTGGCCGTCATTTTGGTCACATAATTGCGTTCAAAAATCAGTACCGTTAACAAATAAACACGGGTTGACGATCATCTTTTTTGTTGGTTTCGATTGTTATTATTAAGTTTTGTTGGTACTTGTTGTGGTTGAATAAAATTACAACTGCGATTATATTTTCACAATAAGTAAATATAATTTCACTAATAATAAATATACCTAATGTCTCTCACGTTATTATTACTTTTGGTTTTGGATCAAAAAATATCCTTTCCGTTCGTTATGTTATTTTTTATTATTTCCATATACCTCAATATTTGCATATAAATGTTTTATTTTTTACCAAAAATTCATTTAATAAATTAACAAACTAAAAGTTATTGAATTATAATATTAATAATAATATGGGATTATTAATAAATATTACAATAATTGATAAATAATTTATCTCTTGCCTTTTGTGCTACCTGTACTTTCTATTTTCGTATGACGTCACGCGGGAGTTGTTAGACAAGGTTCCAGTGCATTAGCAATTCACGGGACTTATAAAACCAGAGAAATTCTCGGGCGGCAGCTTTAAGAAGGCGGGAAGGGGATAATCTATAAATATTTAATCGGAAAAAGAATTAAATTTATATTTTTTTAAATAATTTCCTGCCTCTGTTCGACCATGTTGATTCGGGGCGGAATAGGCTATTTGTAATTATGAAAAATCATCTTATATATAACATAAAAAAGACCGTTAAAAACTTGAGTATTGAAAAATTCTTTCAGGTGGATTTAGCAAAGGAAGAAAAGTGTGAATTCGTGCCATTTATGTCCCCTCAAGAAGTTATTGTAAAGGACGGAAGAGTAAGTTGTGTTACTAAAACAAACTACTAAAGAACAAATTAACATGACATTGAAGGCCTATTCTATTAGTCCTCGAACGAAAATTCGGAAAATTTCGAATTTTTCTGATAATTTCAGATCCTACTTCCGTTGCATCATTAATTATCAATAATGCGTTTATAATGAGTGGTATTAGTGATTTGAAAATAATAGGGGTTAAAGTATGAAATCGCTGATTTGTACTGATAATCAAAATTGTTTTTTTTAAAGTTTTAATAAATTTATTTAGCCAAAATAGTTACCATTATTATCTTTAATGTATAGATAATAATGGCCATCTAATAGGAAGGTCATTTATGCCTTTGCGATAGAACTCTGAAGATCTAGACTGCACAAACTGTGTTAAAGCATTTTGTACTGCCTCTTGGGAAGAAAACTTCTTGTCACGTACATAATTGTTCACTCGAGTTTTCTCAGTATCCGTCTTTCTTGTCTAAGTTGAATAACAAAAACAATTGAAAGTCGATACTCAAATGTTTCACATTTTTTAAAAAAAAAACATCATAGAAATCATATGATAAAGTTTCTTTCGAAAACCTCAAACCATGAAGATTCAATGTCAATTCAAGGAACCAATTACAATAAAACGGCAATTTCATACTTTAACCCGTAATACATAAAGTTTCGTTTTCGTTGAAATAGAATAGGCATTTAGGTTTCATGTTCATTCATTGTAGTAAAAATATATTTCAAAGGGAGAATTAAGAGATAGTTTCCGGTCATTATTTCGATTACAGATTGTCGCATTGAAAATGTGTCGTACTGAGCAACTCGAAGACGGCGAGTGGATAGAAGACACCGACCAAGTAATGCAAATAAAAGCAAACTTCATAATATCAGCTTTCGGTTCAGGACTTTATGATACAGATGGTAAGTATTAATATACTGAAATATATTAAACTTGAAAGTCATAAAAAACATTCATCCCCTTTTCATTCATTCATTCTAATAGGGAGATTGGGTTATTATAACCCACCAAGCGAACTTTATGCAATTTTTCGGATATAACGACCACAAACGCAATAAGGATCAAAAGGCTTAAAGTGACTTCTGAATAAATTTTCGGTCACCCATCCCGCGATTGGCCTTTGCAAAAGTTGCTTAACATTTGCAGACCGAATGCACTGACTAATTAGACATCGATATAATCAAAGATATTGAATTTTAAAAATTTCAGTAAAAGAAGCGATGTCAGGTGTTAAGTTGAACCGTTGGGGATTACCCGAAGTCGATAGTGCAACAATGCAAAGTGCGAGTAACCCTAAAGTATTCATTGGGGGTGACTTGGCTGGAGTCGCTGAAACCACTGTCGAATCAGTGAATGATGGTAAAACGGCTGCTTGGTACATGCACTGCTATTTACAGGTAAATATTCATCAACTTTCATGGAATTCATATGTAAATGCAAATACATAAACATAATACTTACTTACTTAATTACTCAAGGCACGTATACATAAATAATTCAGTTAATGTTTTAAATGACACTTATCTAGCATTTCAATTACATACCTACATGCACAGCATTTGTTACAATTAAGATATTCCGTATGCGTTTATATTAGAATTACATTACAATATTTGTTTAATTACAATACAATTATAAATATTACATAGTAATACATTACAGTTACTAGATATTGGAGTTAAATGAATACATTATCCTGCAAAAATATAAAAGTGATGTACATCACAAAATAAACAAATACCAAATTATATTCAAAAGTCGATTATTATACGTATATGGGTAGTTCTACAAACTAAGGAAGAATTTGAGTCTGATTTCGGCCTGACATTTTTTATACATTCTGATGACAGAAATCAGTCTAATAATTAGATTATAATGTCTTTTAGCTTATCCTAAAAGGAACAGTCAAAATATTTAATATTTTTTGAACTATGGTCTTTTAAAGAAAATCAAGCCACAGGAAACTGAGAGTGTCACCAGTAAACTGAGGAAAACACATAAAAACAAACGAGATCAATCATTTATTTCGCAATTTTTTAAATTTGCTTCTTAACATTAGTTTCTAATAATCAAAGTATCTTTTATAATAACAAAAAATAGTTTTATGCTTAGCTTAGATTTTAATTCTATACCTAAAAGAGGCTTGAACATGAACATTAGTCATCAATTGATCATTGAATATAAATTATTGTTGATCTAAATCATATTATTCATACAACTAACTTTCATTGACTTCTTTTTTCTTTTAATGGCTTCTGGAATTTGTCTGGGAAGAGAGTAAATAAAGGCAAATAAGGTCAATTTGTAAATTAGGCATATTGAATAAAACTTCTGGATTTTCTAAATTAAAAGTATAATCGCTTGCAACGCTCATATCATTAGGCTGATCTTTTGACTCCGTCTCACTTTCGTAACGTCTTTGAAAATTTGCCGTGATTCTGCGGCATACTCTAGTAAACTCATCCGGTAATATTTACACATAATACCCTCAACTCAAAAACAGCTCATTGATTTCATTTGTAGCTTTCGTGCCATGAAATCACTGCCCTGTACTTGATGTACCTTAAGTGTCCCTTACTTGTTGTACTTGATGTACATTAAAAGCGATTAAATTCTGTTGATTGATCTAGAAATCAATTTTTTCATATATTCTTTGTGGAGATTTCTTAATGTATGTTACCTGTAGCATCTTTGCACCTTTTGTTTAGTTACTTTATTTCTTATAAATTATTTCTTGTCTGCGCATATTCTACTGTACTTGTGGTCCCTAGGTAAATTTTTAGTGGAAGAAAAAGTATCCTATTATCTAAGTCAGCTAATACCCTTACTGTATACCAAATTTCATCAAAATCCGTTCAGTAGTTGCGGCGTGATTGACGGACAAACATTCAAAAATCTAAACATCCAAACAAAGAAACTTTCACATTTATTATAATAATAGGATAACCTTGTTTTTCAACTTCCAAGCTTTATTTGAATTCACAATCTGGCCTAAAAGTAATTAATTTGCTACTTTCTTCACTTAACGAGTTTTCAAATTAGACATACATATTATTGGATATTTGCTTTTCCAATACATCACCAAATAAATCCTTTATTACGACTTCTACCCGTGTCATTGGATCTTCAGCAAGTTTGGTTATTGTGGATTTAGGTGTAAGCTCTAGTTGTTGCTTTTGTTTTTTTTTTTAATCTCTGACATCTTTTTTTATATTTGCTAAGCTTTTCTTTCAAATTTAGTATGAGCGCATTTTTGTTTGAACTTCTGGTTTCTCTTATAAAGCTGCTTCTAGGGCCGTTCTCGTGCTGATTCGCTCTAACAAATTGATTCGTCTACTAAGTCTAATTCGTCTACGTCTTAACTTTTTCTCTTAGTAGGATTTTCCATAACTCCAATCTTTCAGCTATCCCTTTTTTTCTTATATTTCTTTTTTGGTCTGTTTCTTTTTTGATTTCGCCATTTTTCTGTGTAATAAAATATAATATAATTCAAAAAACCTAATGTAACACTAAAATATTTACAGTTAATGAATATTTACACAGAAACAGTATTTTTATAATGATCTTCTCAGTATCATGAACAGTTCCTAGTATCCTGGTTACCAATTCGACAGGATCCTGAAGCCAGGTTCCTGATAATTTCTGTGTAAAAATAAAATAAACACTTTAATTTATAACATTCAACAAAAATAAGCTAAACTAGACCTACGTGCTAGCAACTTACATATCAAAACGCGAAAATTATTCATATTTATTATTTATTTCGTAAATAAAAATCTTACCAGGAATCTGTGAACTCCACTGATTACGACAACTCTGCACTCGCCAAACGCACTGGGCTCACTAAACAACGCGCTGGGAGAGAATAGATAAATGATATTATTTGTCTTCTTCGTAGGTTCTATCGACTCAGTGGAACAGTAACGACGCAAGGCTAATAGCCTAGTAAATATTTACATGTTTTACAGCGTACAGGATTCTGATATGAAGTCGTGGGGACAAAATATAAACAAGATTTATTCAATATATTTTTTAGGAAACCGTATAATAATTGTTCTATATAGTCAGGAGATTTAGTAAACTTAATAAATAGGGTTTAATTTAAGACCAAAATGGAGAAGTAAATGAATCACGTCGCAATTTTAACTAAAATTTGCAAGAGGGACACTGCAGGATCTTGAGAATTCGGCACTTTGAATAGTGATTTTGATCAGAAAAGAATTGTAAATCTTGATTATTTTTAGTGACCATCTAGAAACAGTTGTAATAAACAGTATTCCACACAAAATAAACTGTTATTAACATTTTTTTTATCATATTTGAACTGAGCCGCCGAAAATTCCTTAGTTTGTAGAACTACCCATATCAGAAGTAAAAATAATCAGTTTATATGTTATAATAATACACATATATTAATAATCTTCATAAACGTTCTAGGAGAAAAAACTGAGCTTTCTCTTTAAAGATGAACTTGTTAGATCTTTTGATGGCCTCGGGAATTTGTCTGTAATTTTAACATGAAAATTATTTAGAAGTAACGAAAGTCATTCTTAGGGTACACCGTTCGAGTCCCCGGTGGAGTTACCGAAGTTCCACTGCCCAATAGACGAGGTAGATCTGTCAGTGGAAGTGTGCGGTATCAGGTTCGAGAATCCGTTCGGTCTAGCGAGCGCTCCCCCCACCACTAGCGCGGCCATGATCCGACGCGCCTTCCAACAGGGGTGGGGATTCGCTGTCACTAAAACATTTGGTTTGGACAAGGTATTGTATTGATCTCCTCCCCGATCATAAGTAATTTTTTCTTTTTTATTCTCTTTTGTGCTGTTTTTTGATTTGTACTTCAACTTTTTTATCGCCATATGGAAGAAAAAACTTTCTTACTTTCTGTCTGGTAGAGGGGAAGAGAATGCCCTTGGCATTAAGGCCACTGTTTGCTGGTCTATGCAATAAAGATTAAATAAATAAAAAATCGATCATAATTACATTAACATAATAGCTCACTATCGTTTGATTTAGCTTCCCGTTGAAAGAATGTTCATGATAGGATCAGTATTTCTGTAGATTACCCCCAACAAACAAGTTTAGAAACTTTAACTCTTTGTTTGAAACGTTGAGACACTTTCTAACTAAATTAGTTTAAAGTAAACGCGAAAATGGTCCTTCGAGTCGCAAATCAAAATATTTATATTTTCCAGTACAATGTTTATTTTAATTTTATTTAAATATAAATGTGTCTTCTATAAAAAACCGATGTTCATCTTCTTTTGATATTACACGTTTAATGAAATGCTTTATTCTGATCGCTAGAGGTCTTATGGTAATGAGAAATTTCATTGTATTGTATTTGTTTTGTTTTTGTTATAAATTCTATATAGTAAAATATAAAATGAAATTACAATTAATTTACGAAATAGACTACGATCATTTAGGGGTATTTATTTCGTTGCATTACAAACTCAGTGTCTAAAGATGTTTACTTATAAATAATATTTAGTTATAATAAAACTTAATTCATGCACAATCAAACCTTAAAGATAAACTGTGCTTTAAGTACCAGCATCCCTTCCATAGCACAATATAATAGTGCCTTTATAAATCGTATATTGTGAATAGCGATAATGACTAGATAAAAAGAAAAGAAATTGTATTTACGCAAAAAATGAATACATGTTTAATATTTTTCACCATCTCTATAATTAATATTTTAGAATGAGATAAATAAATAATAAAATAAAAAAGTGTAATAGTGGGTAAATGGAATACTGTGAACAATTTGTCATGAAACAGGATTTGGTGACTAACGTTTCACCTCGTATTGTGCGCGGCGTTACTTCTGGTGAGAATTACGGACCCGGACAAGGGTCTTTCCTCAACATCGAACTGATCTCGGAGAAATGCGAAGCTTATTGGTGCCGGAGTATTCAGGAGCTGAAACGGGACTTTCCGGAGAAGGTATGCTTTTTTCACGTATTAATACTCGCTATATTTATAGCTCGTAATTAATAAATGGACTACAATATGTCTGATGTGGTCCCCTTTTGTCTTATTTTACATTACAATCAAGCCACGGGCTATAAATGGGCAGACTGGGAATTTGCTCAGGGCGCCAAATTTTTGGGGGCGCAAAATAAAAGAGATAATAAAAATAAATGAGAGAAACAAATTGCCTTAAAAATATAATTTTAAGTTGTAATCTTTGCTGGAAGTGTGAATTATGTAGTTATATTTTATAAAGGAAATAACAAGAAAACACGCCTTTCATACACAAAACTGTAATTTCCTTTATAAAATATAAGGAACATAGATTATTTGCTTTAACATTATAGTGATAAAGGGGGCGCCAGAAGACCATTTGTCCAGGGCGCCAGTCACCTAAGCCCGGGGCCTGATTACAATTACATGCAAAATGTCATAAGCTTAATTAATTAACTACTCTTCTTTTTATAATGCATAATGAACGCAAAAAAAAAATTGTTGACATCCCTATTTTGCATAACTTATTTTCGTGGTACTACTCTAGTATTTTACGTACGCAGGTAGTGATCGCGTCGATAATGTGTTCGTACAACGAAGCGGATTGGACGGAGTTATCACGGAAAGCCGAAGACGCTGGTGCCGATGCTCTGGAGCTGAATCTATCATGCCCCCACGGTATGGGCGAGTCCGGCATGGGATTGGCTTGCGGTCAGGTAATCATTTTTTGTTTTAATTTATTTTCGCATCAAACAGTCATATATGTTTACAGTGATAAAATTATGAATGAGACCTAAAGTGCCCAAAATATCATTAGATAATAAACAAAAGTATACTTACGTATTGAAACGCGATCAGATATAAAAATCATCAGCCCCTTATAGAAGATTAGCCATGACACAAGTTAATAGGTCATATAATACTACTACAGAATAAAAATTACAGAAAACGGCAGAAACTTGATATTGTGGCTTATGAAATACATTTTGTGAAACTACCATTTTAACGTATTAAGCTATCATTATTTTACAGCCCCCGGGACAAGTGACCCCTATTGCTTCCCCTTCAATCCGACCCTGATCCTTTCCATTTTGTATGTAAAATTCAACCGAAAACCACCAAGGTTTTTACGTCGATCTTTTACATTCAATTATCATCTTTATCCTGTCCATATAAAGCTTTGAATTGTAGTTTTGACGCTGGAACGTATCTTACTGTTTAATGTAAGATTCGACTTTTCATCGTCAGATTTCCAAATCAAAACTTTATCTAAACAGGATAATGTTGATGATTGAATTTCATTTCTCTTCTTTTCACTACAGGTGGCTCCGCAACTCGACGGCAAAATGGCGGCTGGTTTCCGTGTTTGAATGTCATTTAAAAGTTCAATTTTTCGATATTTATATTACATTTTATAGAATATGGTTTTATATTACAGGATCCAGTTTTGGTGAAGGGCATTTCACAATGGGTTAGGAAGGCGATCAAGATACCTTTCTTCGTGAAACTCACACCTAATATTACAGACATCGTTTCGATAGCAGTGGCTGCTTATGAAGGTAAATACATCAGCAAGTAAGGTTACCACATTATGTGATATTTAAGCAGTTAATGCTCAACTCTATGCCCATCGCTTTAAAATTTAAAATCTAATGAAAGTTTGACAGATTTGTATATTGACGGACTGTTGACTATACCTTAATTAATCAAATTTTATCGCATACATAACTGTACAAATAGCGGACTTATATCCTTTAGGCAATCTGTACTAGTCAAGACAGCAGGTCAGCGATACTACAAAAGATTTGTCTCAGACCGTTTCAGTAGTGCAAAATAAGTCACGAAATTGAACAAAACGAATAGATTTTGATTTTGAATAATAAGAGATTTTGATTTCGCATGATTATCTTAAAATTAAAAGTCGAGATTTTTTGTAGCGTTTCACGTGACTTGAAACACGATCCGTCATTGTGTGACGTCACTCTGACGATAACTATCAAATTAGTCTTAAACCGTGTTTATTTATTATACATCAAATTTCTAGATGACGCTGTTTTTAACTTATTTATATATTTTTATTTCGCAATCGACCATTAGATGGCGCTATTCTTGTTTAATTGACATCTTTTGATCTACTACTCTGTGCATTTGTTTTATATACATATCTGAATGACGTCATAAATATGTCGGACAACGTTTTCACGGGTATAAAATAAGTTTAAATTTTAATTAAGACCAGAAAGTGCGTTTATTTTTCCAAAATATATGTTTCATGGCTTATTTTAATTAAAATAAACACTTACAAGTATAACTACAACTATTTCAAAGAGAGTAGATTAGCCTATTGCCGTTATCATGCCGAGAAGTCTTGCTGAGCCTTCTTGGCAATAAGAAATATAAAGGCGAGAAACATATCACATTCACGAACCTCAGGCGTTCTCGGGACTTCTCGATCTGTCCGACCTTATTAGATTTAATATTTTTTAATAATCATTCATCATTCTAAATGCAAAATATTTATTTTAATAGTACCCTCACATAATAGACCGAATAAGTTTTTGCGGGTACATAAATATAAGTAAAGTTACTCGAAGGTATATATAAAAACTACCCGTTAAAAAAACAATATAGCCTACGTTATCCGCGTATAATGTACCCAATTCAATGCAAACAAACAATCAAATCCTACTTCTTTATAATATTATTAGTATAGATCAGGAACACCAGAACTTTAATATTTTTTTTTTTTTTTTTTTTTAGTTTAGGTGTGTAAAGTTAAATTTCTACAAGAATTTCGTTCACAGGTGGAGCGAGTGGTGTGTCAGCGATCAACACAGTGTCTGGTTTGATGACGGTCAGGTCGGACGCTACCCCATGGCCTGCAGTCGGTAAGTCAGCTGGAATTGAGAAAAGTCGGCAATATACTAAAACTTATTGGCGTCCTTTTAGAATTTAGCGCCCTAGGCAAAACACTGGAACTTGGTGCCATAGGCAAAACAATGGAACATGGTGCCCTAGGCGAAATATTGTAACTTGGCACCCTAGACAAAACACTGAAATTCGCGCCCTAGGCAACACACTAGAACTTGGCGCCCTAGGCAAAACACTATAACTTGGCGCCCTAGGCAAAACACTTTCTTAGCGCTCTATGCAAAACAAAATTGAACGCTGCCCATAAAAAAATCACAAGGCAATGAAAGACTAAATTCATGGATCCGGGCCAGCTACGAATAATTATTAGCCTGAATGAACATATACTATTTATGCCGCTAAATATTCGTCCCTTAAGCCCTTTAGGGACCTTGCGGGCTTAGGTGCTGGCAAAAAGCTTTTTATTAACAACTAGCTCTCTTTCCGATTTTCTACGGGTAAATTTATAGCCTACCTACCCCATATGACGTAGCTAGTTTAGGTGGAATAATATTTAAAATCGATCCAGTAGTTTCGGAGCCTATTCGATGCAAACAAACATACAAACGATCAAATCTTTGCAATATCAGTATAGAAAAGAACACATAAAATTACCCAGGTTTTATTTTACCTTAAGGTCCCGTGTAAATATTTAGTTTTCAATAGCGTCAGGCCCGGATCGACGATTTTTTTAACAGTGGCTGAAAATTCGTATGACGCTCATCTATGACGATTTTGTGTTGCCATATTTTTGCAGTGTAAATAGAGATTTTGAGGTATGACCGTTTCGTCATAACCTAGCGTATGAACGAACTTCTAAAACTCGTTCTCTTTTTATTAGGGTTCAGTATTTATAACTATGAATAGGTATTATAGGTACATATAAAATTGAATTTGGCGCCCCCCTGACACTAGCGCGCTTCCCTCCCCTCCTAGATCCGGGCCCGAATAGATAATATACATTTTCATCTCATTATATCGATAAAAAATTTGTGAAAACTGTCGGATTAGCATATTATACTAGTGTTTATTTCATAATAAACATTCATATCAGGTATAGAGAAGCGTACGACATACGGCGGCGTGTCAGGCAACGCGACGCGGCCGATGGGCCTCCGCGCGGTGTCCGCCATCGGGAACAGGCTGCCGCGCTTCCCGATACTCGGCATCGGTGGCATCGACTCGGCCGATTCCGCGCTACAGTTCATACTGTGCGGGGCTCCAGTCGTACAGGTCAGTATGAATATATTAACCTTTGACCTTCGGGTGTGGCAAGGTCAAGTGCTTATGGACAAGAGTTTGTAGGCCTTATTTTTCGTATAGGTTCCGTGCTTCCGAATATAGTATAATAATTTACTGTTGTATTAATACAGCAATTAATTGATTGTTCGCTAAACACACGCTATATTAGAAGGAGCATTTAGAAACGCTCTGGCTAAAAAATCTAACAAAATGACAAATTGAAAATTCGGCTGAATATCCGGTTCGGTGAAGGTTAAACTGAATATTATTCTGTAAAAACAGTATTAGGCGCATCTCTTGCGAGAATCTACTTTTAATGAATCATTATTTTTTTAATATATTCAGATATGCAGTGCAGTTCAGAATCAAGATTTCACGGTTGTGGAAGATTACATAACCGGTCTGAAGGCTCTTCTGTACTTACGGTCTTTAGGTTTAGACGGATGGTCAGGACAATCGCCGCCGACGTTCAAGCATCAGAAGGGGAAACCGGTTGAAACCCTCTACGATACTAATGGCAAGGTACCGTTACCTACTTACAGAACTAGACATTTAATCAGATTATCCATCATGATACGTACCATAATACGATTAAAAATAACAAAATATTGTTATTAAACTTCAAGATACAATCACACTTTAACTCTGCACCAATTGCACGTCTTCACGCCACCGCGTCTCGAATAATAATGCCCATTAAACTAGCAACTACCTTACAAGTAAGACTAGTCAAATCATTTTTTTTTTTATTGGGCCAACACTACATCCGTTTTCTTATTTAATGTGACTCTCTAAAAACAGAACGGTTCTGTGAATGAATGAATTTGTTTATTTAAAAACCACATTTTATAATAGTATTTTACAATATATTTTACGTTATATTTCAATCTCTAAATAGATCACATCAATATCATCCGCATAATCTTTAATCGCACAATTTTGTTTCATTATTAAACTATACTCTAAAATTATCTGCATAGAGTATGCTGACTTGGGGGCCAATTCTACTAAATAAATTTTGTTTAAATCGAAGCCGAACGAAACTAAAGTTTTTAATAGTTTTTTCTATTCTACTTAGTGACATATGATACAATTCCAGCTAAATTAGAACTGGTATTGTATCATAAGTCACTTTGTGGAATAGAAAAAACTATTAAAAACTGTAGTTTCGTTCGGCTTCGATCCGTTTTCGATTCGATTTAAACAAAATTTATTTAGTAGAATTGGCCCCCAGTGGCGTAACTATAGGGTGGCAAGTCGGCAAAATGCCTCGGGCTCCCAGCTAGAAGGGGCCCCCGGTCAGAGGAGACTTCTTACTCCTGACATTTATTATTATGTAATTAATAAAATATGTATGAGTAAGAACGTGATGACACGCGCTGTTTTTGGTCACGGCAACATGCATAAGATATCATTTTCGTTTACTGTCTACACCCGTATAAATTTAATAATTAAAATTATAAAATACGTAACTATTTCTGGTGAAACAAACATCACTTTTGAGCCGTTATAAAGAGATTAGACAGACGGTTTTAGGTTTTTAAAGGCAACTGAGTTCTTGCCATCATTACATTAAGTTTCGATTAATACAATTTATGTTTTTGGACCTCTGGTATAACATATATTTTTGATATACCTCTTGTCTGAAAACTGTTTTCTAGAATCTTCGACCCCACTGAATTATAGTTTATAGTTTCTATAGATAGAGATATAGTTTGTTCAATCTAGAATTGTATACATCGTATCTGATTTGCTATTTTTTATAAAATCGGCTTTGAATCAGAGTACGAGCACAGCGCTGTTACAGCATAGAGGTAAAATAAAAACTATTATAAATTAGGTTATATTTAATTGGACTACTATGCTGTAACATCGCAACAAAATTAGGTTTTAAATTAATTGCCGTGGTGAACTTGAATAGGTTAACGCTTTACTATTTTGAGATATATTCAACCTTTTTTATCTTTATAGGTGCTCGCGCACTTCGGACCTTACGTTAAACAACGCGAAGACATCCTTCATGAAAAACGAATGAAATCTGACATTCTGTGTGCTAACCAAACAGAGAAACAATACGAAGGCAAAGTTAACAGCGTGACAGAAGTACCGAAAATTAAGGACGTTTTGGGCGCAGCTTTGCCTAGAATAGGAGCTTATAAGACATTGGATAATACTAAACAAGTGGTAGCGTTAATAGACGATGTAAGCAATATATAATAATCTATAACAGGGTCGCCGAACAGAAAGAATTTCGTACAATGACCCGGCATTACATATCTCTTTCACTCTTGCGCAAACTTATATGCTATTGCTCTCGCACAGATGCATCTAGCCAATTTTGCCGTAGTAAAATGAACGTAATATGTTTACGGGTACGAAATTATTTCTGTTGGCGACCGTATTGTATCATTATCAGGGTTTGCTTTCTACATGGATATAATCACATCGGAAGAAAGGACGGCCAATACAGAGTAGTGGTATTAACGGCAGCAAATGCTTAATCTATATTAATATTAAGATAGGAAAAATGTTATCGTTCGTTTATTTGCAATAAATACTTATACTAAGAAATTATCGGACTTATTTGAAAAATTCTTTTAACATCAAAATCTAACATTATCTTTGTTGTAAACAGATTTATTTTCAAGAACTATTTTAAGTATATTTTTGTTAAATACCACAAAACATTCAACTTCTAGAAAATAGAGCTATTATTCATGAACACGTTTATATATATCTTATATAATAGTGAGACACCCTAGGCGTCAGCTGAAAATCGACGCTGTAGTCATCTGCGGCTTATGTCGAGCTGGAGCCTATTGGACACATCACCCTGGAGGGCCCTAGTACTATATGAAACTGAATCTAACAATTTATTTTTATTCCTATGCTATCTTTTGCTGTTATATTGTTATAATGGTGTGTTCAATAAATCATTCATTCATATTCAGGATATGTGTATCAACTGTGGGAAATGCTATATGGCCTGCGCAGACTCCGGTTACCAAGCAATTGAGTAAGTGTCCATTAAGTTTTATTAGTTTACCTTGGAAAAAAGAAAGCCAAGCCGCTTTAAACTGCCCATTTGGAATGTGATCTTATTTGTCTGACAAGAAAACCAGCTAAAGAAACAGTTCTTAACATAATTAACGACATTTACATAATCTATCTAAGCTGGCGTATTAATCAAAAGTAAACGTGTTAAGGCCGGTTTCTGAAATTGAGAAAAATCAAACTGCTATCAGCTGATCATTTAAAAAAAACGATAATCAATAACGAAAACCGGCTTAATGACGTTTAAGTACAGTTTTAGAAGTGTTTAACTTTGAATACTCCACTTTAACTTTGTATGTGAGTTCCACAAGCAGCACCATATCTCCGAACCTGTTAATCGACCCTGGCATATAAGACATACTGTTACTTCTACCACAGCTTCTATATTAATGGACTATTTATCTATAAAATAAACAAAGTTATCAACTAGCCTACTCACTGCTGAATATATTTTTAAAGCTGGTAATTTCTTCTTATTTTTTAATTCCTGGCCTATTTGCGTTTACACAATTCCGCCAATGTCTCGTTTGTGAAAAAAAATATCTTTACTAATGATTACATGTTTATTTCGACAGGTTTGATCCAGAAACTCATATACCACACGTGACAGATGATTGCACTGGATGCACATTGTGCTTGTCCGTTTGTCCCATCATTGACTGCATATCGTAAGTATTCATTTCAAAATCTAGTATATTTATGAACTCAATAACATCTTATCTGTTACATATAATAAGAACCAGATATAAATTGAAATGTGCTTATGTCATTTTAGGTATTTAGATATTTGTGTTCAAATTAATTTTGGAATGGAATTGGAAGTGACAATGCTTTCTATACAAGGACAGAAATAAGCATATCTACAAAAATTTTAAAATTAATCTCCAACACATATTCTTGATACTTTAATGAATTACAATAGTCGGTAGCTATGCTGGGCTACAGGTCTTCCAAAAGAATGGCATAAACTATCATGCAGCTTCAGTAGTAAGAGTCAGACAGTACCCATGGTAGGGTATAAACGACTGCAGACGTTGAAGCCTTTGGTAGGACAACACATTCAACTTGAACTTAGCTTACGTAAGATTTTTCTGTTCACTCATCCGATGACCGATTACTTAACCTCTTACACACTTCACTTCGATCAAGCACCTGATATAGTTTTAAAATGTCCAATTTCCAAAACGTATGATTAATATTCTCAAAACGTCCAATCTAGTATTATGATGGGTTTTTAGAATACACAGATAAATATTCGACGACCTCCGCAGCAGAGTGGTTCGCACGCCGGTTTCAAGGTGTCGCCATCTCTGAGGTCCCAGGTTTGATTCCCGGTCGGGTCATAGTAGAAAATTGACTTTTTATATTGTCTCGGCTACCATCGTTGTCTCAGATACTCCATAAGCGAGCTTTAGCTACTCATCTTGGAATCAGAGCAATGTATCTATTTATATAATAAAAAATAAAACAATAATATGTAGCAAGTTATTTGAAAAAGTACTCTGTCTTAAAAATATTATACATTTACAAGCTTTCTATATATTATGTACCTGCGTGCTCAACAGACCCATCATTTACATTTAGGACACTTTACGACCGTTAGACATTTTGGGAATTGGTTATTCTGAACTGAAAGGAATTTATGGTTTTAAATATTATTATATGTATATTTTAATACTTTTACAGGATGGTACCGAAGCAAATTCCACATGTAATCAAAAGAGGAATCCGCCAAGACGTTTACCCCATCTCACCTCTGAGTGCAGTTTGTCAATAAATCGGAACAAAATAAAAAATTATACTATGTCTCATAGAAAATTGTATTGTATAAAAATAAAATATATATATATATATATAAACCATATTAAGTTTTTATCCATAAGCCAGCATATTATAGAGTTCATGAGCCCTATTTTTGGCATACTTCCATGAATATACCCAGGGATTTGTTGGATTCACAGACAATGTTAACGCCGATACAGGTTTTGGGCAATCGTAATGACTTTTGTCTACTATGTTTATTCCTAGTCCTGATTTATTATGCAATTTCTCACATATAAAACATTCAAATTTTTCTACTGATTGTATGCCATCTCCCTGATATGGCCTTGCTTGTATCTCTTCAACTAGTCGTTGATTAGTAATGACCTTTTTAATTTTATGTTCCAAATATTCATCATACAAATTATCATTGTTTAATAGTTTTTTAATGTGCTTGCTCATAACCTCTGGTGTCGGAAAATCGTCGAGAAGAATAGCAGACTTGTTATTTGGAAACCAATCTCTTATAGATGGTGATCCAAAATATATTGGTACACTGCCAACTTTTATTGCTCTCCAAAATTTCTCAGTCACATAATCTTCACACACTCCATTCTCTATAGCAACAACAAATTTATACCTTGCTACAAATTTTAGAAAATTATCCTCATTTAAATTGTTTAGGTAATCCTCAGAAAACTGTTTGGGTAACTTTTTATTATTCAGACATGCGCCATATGAATCAATCTGTATATATTTCATTAGTTCTTTGACATATGTATCTCGCTCTGTTGATGTTTCACAATCACTTTGTAAATATATTATGGAAGATATCCTATTTAATAAACCATTTTTCACAGAAGTTGGTATAAAATATTCTGTACTTGTTATATCATCTATAGATCCCATATATTGCAATGGAAATGGGACATTACTATATCGACTGAACGTAGCCGAGAAATTGAAAAGACTCAACATGGATTCATGCATCAGAACTTCCAAATTTCTTGGTGACTCCTCATGATATAGACCCCAAATTTCTCTAGGATGTTTACGGGGTAAATCTTCAATTTCAATGTTGCTTCCATAGAATAAATAAGCACTGACATTATATTGCAGACTTGCATTTTTGTTACTATAAATATCACATTTTATGTGGCTTGAGCAATATCTTACTTCCATTGTGCCAGGAAAATTGGATGTCCACCACACTATCACAGGATTAGAAGAATGTTTTTTCACATAGTAGTTTTTTAACTGGTCACTTTCACATTTCCTGGTATAACTCAGCAAAGCAATTAAAAACAGTAATAAAATCCACAAAATTCTCATCCGACTTATCTTTATAAGTAATCTCACAAACCTTGTACCCATTTTAAATATGTTTTTCATAACACATTTTAACAACAATTTACATTTTATCAAACAAGCTTTGGGACGCATGTTAATGATTCAAATAGGAATTTTTTATCATAAAATTCAGGATGTTAATAATTATTCATCACGGCGCTACTAAAACTGATAAGCTAGCATTTTAATTAAAATGGTATTTAAAATGTCCATCCTCTTTCTTTCTGCATATAATATATATCCATTGCAAAAGCAATAATCAAATCTACATAAAAGAGGCCATATATTGCTCCTATTAGTCTCCCGACAAGGAATAGGTTTATGAATCCGGCCACTGTGAATATAAGTTCAATAACAACATAGTACAACTCTGCCTCATATTGTACCTGATCGACAACATATAGTATCATCATAAGCAAGGACAGCATGACCGTTGGAGCTGCCACCAGGCATTGCAATACGTCCACTGGGTCCACAACATGAGGTAGGATACAGAGTAGGAGTGCCACTACCTAAAAGTAATATCCATTCGGTGACAGTTGTTCAGTAGCTCTAATTAAAATTATGGTATTTTTAGTACAACAGAATAAAAAATATCTAATATTTTGAATACAGATAACTCCTAAGAAGTAGAAAAAATGCGATTCAAATGGATATCTGAATAAATATGTTTGGTTCCAACATTGAGATAAGAGATCTTTTTAATCAAGAAGTCTATTACATGTAAACTATTGATAATGCTGAATTTTTTTTTTATAAAGACACCTCTTTTGGCAACTAGTGTGATTATTACAAAAGGATTTTGGGAGGTCAATGGATTTTCAGCCATAACCTCTTGATAATTAAGTTTATAATATGATAGTAGATCAAGTTACAAAAAGCTAAGTGTATTCAAGCAATTTCAAACTTAACTTTCCAGATGTTAAGGCTTAAAATCAAAGTAAGAAAAATTAAATTTATCAACTTTTGAATCAATATATTTTCAAGAAACAAATTCTGTTCTATATACAATAAGGGCAAGTTACGGCCTAATCAGTTGTGAAATTTCAAATGCATTGATGTCAAATTGTCAATGTTGTGTTGAGAACCAGTATTGGGAAATTCTTTAAACTTGTTTATGTTCATGAACATAGTTATTCTAGATAGATATTTTCAGATATTTATATTTCAATATAATCTAAACAATTTTTTTAAAGATAAAAAATTTAATAATACAAAGATTGGACGCTCACAAGCACTTTATTTATTAACAGTAATTCTAGTGGAGTAATGCGAAACCTCTCTCTTGAATAACGTAGTATAGATCTATACATATAGCAATTAGCAAATGTGCAAGAAACAAAGAGAAGACGGCACCCGACGCTGTGTTAGACATTAAATTCAGTACAAGCGCAATTATATTTAATACTATCTGTATGCATATATACAACTGTTCGGCTAGGTCATGCACTTGGTCCACTAAATACAACACGACGAACATCACCGATAATATTACTGTCGGCGACACTGCCAGGCAGTACGACATCCCAGGCTGGGGCATTACGAACGGAAGTATCATGAGTAGCATTGATATTACCTAAAAGTAAACGTATTGGCATTTTGTTACAGTAAATTGGAGCTCGTTTTAACCTACCTATTATGATCTCGTGATGATATCCCAAATAATGTTGAAATTTACTGAAGCTCTAGGATTCCTAAATAACTTTCACGTAATATATATTTTTTGGAGAAATTAAAACATAACACAAACTCTAACTAAAATATCTGACAACAACATAATTCACAAATCATATTTGGCTGATTCTTATTTTAACGACTCTCTGTCACTTACGAGCTGTTCCCCATTTACATCACTAGTGTACAGCCATAAAATGATATGAAATTATAATACATTATATGGAATATGGAATAACTCGATAAATAAAAAAATAATAGAAAATAAACAACGATATTGCATAAAAATATATTAGATTTTACATAAAACTCAATATTACGCACAGCTAAAGGTACATCCTCTTTCATTTGCGATCAAAAATAAATCAAGTGACAATGCAGTTAACAGTGCAAAGTAAAAGATTCCATAAATTATCCATAGCCACACTGTAACTAAATTCATTAAAAAACATTGCATAAAAGCACCAAAAACAAATAATATTTGAAAAAATAGATACATTTTTTCCATGAACAACGGTACTCTTCGTCGTAAATATAGAATAATAAATATAAAAGATATTATAAGCGTAGGCCCAGTCGCTATGCAGTACATGTGCCCTTGTGGCCTTGGTATGATTATGGGTAAAACAGTAATTACTAAAGAAATTACCTACAAATAATGAGAACAAAAAGTTAATTATTCTTTCATTTAAACATACAAAATATTTAATTGAAGATTAATATAAAGACGACATTTCCTATTTATATTTATATAATTAGCAAACACTCATATTTATCTACTATTGTGCATTTATTTATTAGAGTAAATTCGGTGACCGTGGAGATAAGTCTAAAGCCGAATTTATATTACGAAACTAAGTCCATGGCATCAGTTTCATTGCATTATTTTGCTAGCAGTTATTTTGGTAGCACGTGTAAACATAGGTCCAGTTTCACAATGCATGCATTAGTTTCACAACACTAAAGTAGTAACATGAAAATGTGTTACATTTTTTTGATAAAACTCACAATTTACACAGTGAAACTAGTTTCACATCATCTACGCATACTAAAGCTTCGATGTTAACAAGCTCAGTAATTCAAGAAATACTGTTGATTACACGCCGTTACGAAACTAGTTCACACTTTTTGTGAAACATAAGCTTTATCTACAAATATTTGCTATAAGTTCTAACGAACTTGTGCGTGATTTTTTTCTTTCAATATTAATAATTTATACTTACGAATTCAACTAATTTCATGATAAAAATATTGTACTTTATTAATTCATTCCACTTTTTATCTACTGGCACGGAGTCTGAAAGAAAGTGAACAATAAAATTTTAACTAAATGAAAAAATTGTAATCTGCCTACAGTTTTGAAGAACATGTTTGTTACACAGTAGTCTTTGTTTTGGCTACTGAGAATTAGTCTAAATTTATACGTAACGGAGATAAAGAAAAACAATAACCGAAGGATGACTATAAACATAATAAATTATCCTGTATATGAAAATCATGTTAATGTTATGACAGGAAGCGAGGATTTCTTGCTTTAATGAAGCTCAGTTCGTAGTCACATTATAATATAAAATAATGCATATATTGCGTAAGGTCAGGTATTTCTTAGATCATATCAAATCCAAATCATTTATTCAGTCTAGGCTGTTACAAGCACTCAAAGTCGAGAGCTACGCCATTGGTTCGTAAATCTACGGCGGGAATAAAATAATAACAAAAGAATGTAATCATTTAATTTGAAAATTGTGTACTTACCATTTATAATCATATCAGACATGTTTGTATTTAAATTAAAAATACTTCTTTTCAAATAAAATTAGAACATGATAAAATGTTTATTTCACTTCAAATATTTTTTAAATGAGTCGTAATATAATTATAAGCAGAGAGATAGACAAACGAAAAAGCAAGTCTAAAACATAAAATAAAGTAAAATAACATAGAATTAAGATCAATTCGTCAGCAATTTGACAACTGCAATCGAGCATGTAGCCAGCATGTCATATTTTTATTCTCTTTAGGCATTTTGTTAAGTGCGCATTAATAAGAACGTAAGACCTTCTTATTAATTTTTCTTCTTCAGATACTCTGGTTTCCCTTCAAAACGCATCTTCTTCTTCAGATAAGCCCTTATTACAAGAAGAAGGTCTTACGTTAGAAAACAACTAAAACTGGAATTACATTTAGACCATGATTTGCCACTGCCGGCTATCGAGGTTCGTAAATTTCTTCAATACGCGGGAGGATTTAATGTAAAATTAGTACTGTAAAATGAAACAATGTTCAGTTTGAATGAAACAGATCATTATGGGGTGATATAAACTTATAAACACAGCGTTAGTTCTTCAACATTCTAAGGATCTGAGGAATGTGTGTAATGTTGTGTAATGTGTATAATATACTTTATTGCAAACTACAAAGGACACAATAAAAAGAAGCAAGATAAGAAAGAAGCATAAAGGCGGTCTTATTGCTAAATAGCAATTTCTTCCAGGTAACCCATGTTGAAAAAAAGTAAATAATATGAGTCGAGTGGTTTATGCTTTTATTTGATGACTAGTTTATATTTTTTTAATGTTACTATTATTGACTTGATTGAGTTATACACTTCAAAGGCCTTGAGTGATGTTCATATTGTGTTAAATTTCATAATACGATAGTATTTGGACACCGACACTGCATGTATTTAATAAATATAATTTAATTCAAGATTTTATTTTCAATTATTATATCTCACTTTGTGAAAAATTTCCACAGGAAATAAATAGATGGGTATTAAAATATTTTATTTAACTAACCTAGCAATATACAGAAACCTATAGTTAGATAAAAATAAACTAAAATCCAGAACCTTTTTGTTATAAAGGGTCATCAACAGAAATAATGCAATCGGAAGCCGTTGGTCCCGCCTGCATCTGCAATCGTTATCTACTCAATCTTGAATTTGTAATACATAGTAACATTTCATTCGCATTTGGGTTTAAATTTAACAGAATCACAGGACTGTAATGTTGTCTGTATTTGTTATTAAAACGAGGAAATCAGACTAGATGTCGTTACGGTACTTTCTTGATTTCTCCATGACAACACTTTCGATTTCCTTACACGTATAAAAGTAAATAAGTTTTCAAAACTCAATAATCAATTCATATTTTATTTGTACTTTTTCATATTTGTATTGATATATAAGGTTCGAACTTTGCAAATTTCAGTTTTTTCATATGTTAGTAAAAAGAAATGACTATCCTTGGTCCATTCGTTTCCTGCTAAAATCAACTTTTGCTAGGGTCGCCATCTAGTGAGGTGCTTTTTAGTGCTTTCTTTTTTTTAATATTCCTTATATGGTCCACAATGTACATAGTCTTGGACGAAACAAACTATAATTGGTCTGTGAATGAATGTTGTCGAAAATTGACAAATTTGTGTCAAATTTCGATAAAACTATGGAATTTATCTTATTCACGTTACACGATTTGTGGCGATTATTGGTTTAAATATTGTACTAGAAAGAGGGTGAAATAGTCAAGGAACATGGAGGAAGATGATCCTGTGGTACAAGAGGTATTATAGTTAATGCACTGTGTAAAATAAAATACAACGTGGTATTAGGTTATGTTGTTGATTATGAAATAATTGCAAATATTAACATATTATATTTTAGATACCAGTTTTCGTATCTCAGGCGCTCGCCAAAAATTTGTATATTTATCAGTATCCCGTAAGACCAGCGAATAGGGACTGGAAAGAAGTTAAAGTTACCAATGCTTCAATTAAACCCAAGAACCAGCTTGTGCGATTGGAAGTCGGTTTGGACACTTACAGTGATCAGTATTGCCCTTCTAAAGGCGAGCAGATTGCTCTCAATACTGATGGACAACAGGTGTAGTATATTGTTTCAATTTTTTATCTACCATGATTTTTTTTTTAAATCAATAAAGTGCTTTTAGTGATATCTACTCAAAATCTTACCTTCTACCGTTATGAGCTTCTAGATAAAAAAAAAGTGCCAGACATCAGACTTGGAACAACCACAAATTTTGGAACATTACTGTTATATTTAATCATATTGTAGGAGTCATCATGGCATACTAAGGAAAAAGATAAGTCTCAATATTTTAAAACTGGGATGATGGATAAGATTCTTTATGAGTGCAGCAAGCCATCCACTGAAACTCGACACTATGCTGTTGCAATATTACAAGACAAAGAATTACATTGCACTTCTATCCAAGGTTTATATGAGCACTTTATTTTACATGCTTTTATACCATCTTGCATTAGGGTCTGTTTGCCTTGTGTGCCGCAGCATTAGCCAATTCTGGGTTGGCCTATGCCTCTGCAGTGTTGTCATTTGTATAGTGATAAATATTGCTTTTATACCTATTCAGTGCTTGGTCCACACACTTTTTGAGTTTATTTTTATGAGGTGGTGTTTGTATAAAATATTTCATTTTACTGATTCTCAAAATAATATCAATATCAATTCCATGTGATGTTAATTTTCAAGAGGTTACTGAAGGACAGACAAGTCTGAGATTGAACGATAGTTTTAGTTTTCACTGAATATTTGTGATTGAGTTTTCATTAATAGAATAGCTCACAAATATCATAATTGAAATTTATTGAAATATATATTTGACTAGTTTTCTGACAATTACTTTGCCTGTATTTTTTATGTGATCACTAAACAGTACATTTATCCTGAAATTGTTAAGTGATATAAAATGTGGCCATTATGTTAATTCAAGCTTAGAATCATTAATATACCAAACATCAAAATTCATTCAGTAGTCTGCACAAACTTTTGTATTTATAATATTTTGCAGATGATACAAATTTCCCTATAAAATGTACCAAACAGACTGAATACAATTGTGTTATTGTAACCTACAATTAAGTTACAAAAAACAAAATATTACATAGTTTTATTAAATTGGCTTAGCAGTAGTATAGAAAATGGAAGGACTTATGTGTTCTCTGCCTTATCACTGAACATTGGTTGATTATCACTTATCAACAAAGGTTTTGTAGAATTTTATTTAGCCAAATAATTATTTGCTAATTTATCATAAAATCTTATTTTATTTCCCTACCTCACCATTTCCAACTGTATGTTTCATGTGCTATTTATAAAGATACTTTTTAAAATGCTTACTTTCTAGTAGCAAAATATTTCAGTCAGTGTAATTTTCAGTATGTTTTTTATTGTTTACTAAATGTCGTATTAATTAAGTCGAATCTGGTTAGTTCACAGTCAATCAAACATGATCCTACTCTATTCCTTCATTGTCACACCTAATTTCACCATTAATGTGACCTAAACTAATCTAACTATTGCTTTGCTTTTTGCATTTCGGTGACTGCTGCTGTGGTATGCCCTCTTCGCTAGCTCGGCTTGTGCGTTGTTTATCATATACTAACCTAACCAAACCTATATGTTTCTGTTGCTATACTTATTACAAAGTTCTTGAACAGAAATCTACATATTTAGAAGAAAAAATGACAAATAATAATATATGAAAAAGGAACTGATGTATTGACGAATTGTTATTCGTCTAAAAGTTTTGTGGCCTAGTGAAAGATTAGACAAATGATAAATATCCAAATGTTTTTTGTCAAAAACTTGCTAATTGTTGTTAATGTTTTTATCAATGTCCATTAAATTTTGGTTTCAAACAGGTATTGTGCAGATGAGACCCTCATATTCATATTATGACAGGCAGGACAAACGTAAAAGTGATAAAAATAAGTCTGACAATTCTGATGATGATGAAAAGGAGCCAGAAGCCCAACAGGTGATGCACATGTTTTTAATAATTATTGAACATGTTTTGAAATTATGGCAAGAGTTTGATTTCAACTCTCCTCCATTTCACTCACTTTTACGCTCAGACTGCTTAGTGTAGGTTTTTTTGACGTTTACGTTCACTGTCGATCGTGAGCGCGTTAAGATTTTAGTATGGAATCCGGTACAGCGCCCCTAGCGGTAACTACCAAGAACTATAAATCTCCATACAAATTCTTAACGCGCTCACTAGTGAACGCGTTAGCGTAAAACTTACACTTGCCACTCTGTATCCACATTGTGAGACTGCTCATATGAGCAGTATATGAGATGTAACTGCCCAAGGCAAGATCTGAGACACACCTTGCCAGTTAGATATACACCTTTTAGTCTCCTTTATATAAAACATCTACCACCACAATTTTTAAATACCAAGGATTAACAAAATTAGATTTTATTGATATATATTATAATTACACCCTATCCAGGTGACAGTGAAATTCGCACGACAAGAAACTGATGTGGTAAAAAAGGCCCGTGAGAAATCCTTTGTATCAATCTCCCAGAAAATAAACGAAGAACCATGGTATGATGCTATGTGGAAACACTCTGACACTGATCAAGCAGAAGTAAGTAAATTTTATTTTCATTTGTAAACACAGTATTTTATAGTGCCTACACATTATCAATATGTAATTCTTTAATTGTAGTTTATATAATAATTTTAAATAAATGACAACCTGTTGCACAAACATCTATAAAAATTCGTTAAAAGTGACATTACTGATACAAATTTAACATTCATTAGAGTTTAAAGGCATCATTAAACCCTAATGTACGTCTGTGCAACTGACCGTTAGTCTTTTAAAAAATTCTTGTCCATTAGAATTATAAGAAATTTTATTTTGCATACAAATTTACCATTGAAATGACCACTACTGAGATCAGAAATTTAAATGGACAAATTCACATCATACTAAAGAACTAATAATATAGTAGTAGTAAGCATAATATTTGATCATATTAGCAAAGTGTAATCTTTTATAAACAAAATGTTGAAAATTATTTGATGACTTTTCAGTATGTAGTGTGTTTTATGTTCATATTACAGGTTTATCTTAATTCTGATCCTCTAGAAAAATCAAATCCATAAATAAAAGCACTTCTTTACAGAATTGTTTATGACCTTGAGATTTTACTGTGCAGTAAGACTATTGTAGGAGTTATATTGTTATTTTGGTATATTCCAACTTATTATTGTCTCTAAAACAGTAGGTACAATAAAAGTCTATACAGTAAATACGATTTTCCTGTGGAAATAAAACAGGAACCATTGGCTAAGACATACTATATAGACTCAATGTTGATTGGATATTATTAATTATTACAAAAGCAGCTGAGACCATTAGGCATTATTGAACATGCTTAATATATCACTGTAAATTTGAATTTTTGTTTATAATCCTTTTCACTGGGCACACGAGCCGGATTATGGCCGAGTCTGCCTGTTTGATTCGATTCTACCCATTTGGAAGACTTGTCCCAGCTGCAGGATCGAGAAACCGTTTTTTTTCGAATCAGTTCGACTTAAGTACACGCGGAACTTTATTTAAGGAACCGGTTAGCGAGAAAATATGGTCTCTATATTAACCGGTTTTAATATCACTCTAGGTAGCCTCGCGAACAACGACGTGGTTCTAAAGTGCGTATATTCATATCCATAATGTCCAGATATAATAAATGTCAATTAAATAATTGTATGACAAACGAAGTGACATGAGCGGCACACACAGACATCACAAACAAGACAAGACAGAATGACACAGACAAGAGTCGCCATCGGATATTGCATTTTACGAGCCAAGCGAATTAAGTTTTTATAATCTGAATCCCGAATAAGAACAGGTTTTATACTTAAATAAAATCGGTTTATTCAGAACCCAGCAATCCCCATTGCATTATGAATATTGGTTAGATAAGTCTATTATAATAATGCACATTCAACAGTTGGAGCGATTGAAGTTGTTCAGTATGACTACATCAGATGGGTCTTCGTTATCCCTGAAGGCCCGCGAGTATGTTCGAAATCTAGTCCCGCCACCGCCTGATGATGAAGCAGATGTAGCACCGACAAAATTGCTATCACCACGCGATCAAATCAAGGAAATTCTTCTGAATGGTATGTCTTTTTGTATTAGTATTTTGTATATTTATAATGGTTTAACACTAAACATAACATAATTTATGGTTTATCTGCAGACTGTGTATTTTAATGCATTTATATTTTTATAATGTATATATCTGCAATCAGCCTTTAAGCTTTAATCAGATGCGCTGACATTTATCATTATTCCTAGAATTGAGACAAATTATGTCGATTGATAGTTTGTAATAATTATCGATGGTTGTCTTATTTAGTTTTTACAGGCTGATTAATTAATAGCCCACAAAATGTCAAAAACAAGTTGCACAAAAATCCATTAATATTGACATTAGTTTAAAGCCACATTACACTTATAAATTTGACATTCATTAGAGCTTAGAGGCGTCATTAGACCTTAATGGGCGTTTGTGCAACTGACTGAATATTTACTATAATGTTACCTTAGGGGGCGTCCATAAATTACGTGAGGTGTTTTTTCATATTTTCTGACCCTCCCTCCCCCCCTGGTGAGATGTCGTGAGATTTTATTCAATCCCCTCCCCCATCCCCAAATCTCACGTGAGATTTTTCAAAAAGTGGATTTCTTATTTAAAAACGTTGGATTTTTTAATAAAAAGAAAAAAAAAATTCGCTTCGTACTTTTATTTACGACTAGTTAGAGACTAGTAATCCATATTGCTCTCATTCATCGAGTCACACGTTCAGATGACAGTGGCGCGAAAACAAAGGACGGGCTACATTGTACCGTAAATTCAAATTAAATTGAGCTATTTGGTATAAAACGAGTATAGTGGTTTGACAATCAGGAGTGATGTATAATGTCAAAGTACGAATGAAATTATTTTCTTTCCAACGAATTAGTGAATGATCTTAACCTTAGACTTGTCACTCTATGAGGGATTCCCCGCACCGAGCCTTATTTTAAAAATTGCGTGCTATTTGCCGAGACCCCCCCTCTCTCCAACGTGAGATTAGATGAGATTTGACTCGACTCCCTCCCCCCCTTAAACATCTCACGTAATTTATGGACGCCCCCTTAATCGTAAAACCAAACTCTCGAACTTTATGTTTCTCATACATCAAATATTGGCAGAATGTATACGTAAAATAGAACTACTTATTCTATTACTTACTTATTTATCTTATGCTTTACTAAATTTATAATTATTCGGGTTTTAATGGTGACATGATCTATTGCCGTCGATACCTTGTTGCAGTCAAGGGAAATAAAACTAGTCAATTTCTTATGTAGGCACGGCTGGCTAGAAATTAATCCAAGTGAATCGATCTTAATATCTACTCTACTGTATTTTTGAGTAGCTCGATGGGGTAGTGGCTCGCGAGCGGTGTTTTTAAACAACTTTTGCTAGGATCGGTCTCGGGATGGGTTACCAAAAAAATATTATCTCTAGCTACTCAATGCTTCGGAAAGCACTTTAAGCCATTGGTCCTAGTAGCTGTCTTTGCAGCCGTTATTATTCTCCAATCCGCATTAGGGCAGTGTGGAAGGTCATCAAAGCTCATCTTCCTTAACCATCCATGAAGAAGACCTGTTGATGAAGGCCTATGCAGTGGAGACGTAAATGGGCTGATGATAATTTATGTGCGTGGATGACTAATTTTAGAATGATATGGACCACGCTGCTTAAATTATAAACGTAAAACGTGTATAATTAAATTTATAACAGTAAAAACTCAATAATAGGTTACCTACAACGCGTTTAATTTACGCTTCGTTTGTATTAAAGAGGCTTTAATTATTTATTCAATCTTTTGCACGCATGCCCCATAGAAATGATTTCTGCCTAAATTTTTTTCAAATACAATAAAGTATTGAACCTAAGTTGTTTTTGCGGGGTTTTAAAAGTGATCTTTGACAGGAATTTAGGACAATCGACAGCGACACAAGCGCTTTTGTCGAGAACCGATTACGTATTTATTTGTCGTTTCTAGCGAAACTGATGACGTTTAGCGCTTTACGCGCGATGGTCCGCACCGAGGACGGCCCGCTCAGCGAACTGTCGCTGTTGACGGCGCTGGACACGTGCGCGTGCTGCGTGCGCGGGCTGTGGACGCCGCGCTCCAGCGAGCTGTACACGCGCGCGGACCCCTTACCGCCCAGACTCATGTGCGCCGCCAGGGATCACGTGGTCAGTGTCCATTCGTATACTATATCTACACATATACTATATCTGGTGAGTTGTACATGCACGCGGACCCCTTACCGCCCAGACTCATGTGCGCCGCCAGGGATCACGTGGTCAGTGGCCATTCGTATACTATATCTACACATATCCAGTGCTTGGCACGAAAGTAAACTACGCAGTAAACGAATATAGGTATGGAAGGAAGTTAAGTGTGCGAACTTAGCCATAGCAACAGAGCTTAGTGGCAATCCGCGCTTGACGTTTCCCTACAAATTCACTTTCCGCCATTTGCAAATACAATTTTTTCATACAGTAGACTGAAGAAATAAAATGGTTTATTACTATACTGAATTTTGTCGTTATAGTTTTTTTTTGTTGGGTTTGCTTTCGTGCCGGCACTGTATATACTCCACCAATTCAAATATGCCAGCAGAGGTATCTGTAATAAAACCATATCAATTTTATGGTGGCTTTAAAATATTAAACTCCACAAACATTAAAAACCACCATATCACAATATTCATTTATTAATTTACTCATTAAAAGACATTATATCTTTGTTCCAGCTCTATCTATTCACTCAACACCCGTATATAGACAGACGGAAGGTAGCCGCAGCAGTTCGTCTACCACCAGCAGATGTATTAGAAATCATACGATCAGTCGCAAAGTTTAATCCAAAAACAGGCTGGGAGCTTCTAATACCACCAGATGTCGCCTTCGAGACCAAGTATCCCGACGTCATACAACGTCAGAACTTGTACTGGGAGGCGCGTCAGCGACAATTCAACGAAATGCTGATGGGCGAAAATATGCCTAAACGTCAACGCAAGAAGTCTCAAAGGGAATCGGTGAGCTCCGATACGATGATGAGCCCGAAACCGAGGTGTAACAGTGTTAGTGAGGAAGACAGTGAAAGAAAGAGACAGAAAAACAAATCCGCCACCGGCAGCGGTAAACGGACTCGCAACGCTAGCTCCAGTAGTACACATGACGCGACGTGATCTTTAACATAAGTTAGGTTATCAAATTAACTTGGCTGTATTAAAATTGGGCCATTATAAAGTTTGAAGTAGTGTTGTGACAATAGCGATAGTTTGGGTATCGATAGTGTGACCTTGACAAATAATCAAATTGTCGATATGACTATTGAAATTAGTCACTTTATTCAATAATTTTGATATAGAAATATAGACGATCATGTTTGTTAATATTATATTCGATTAATAGTGAACCATTCCTGAGACGAAGAAATTCTTCATTCATCAGTAAGTACTTGTTACTTTCGTTACTAGAGCTGGTTTTCAATAAACTCAGTTTTGCTAGTCTGTAACAATGCAGCGTCGAAATACAGCATTGTAGGTTCAATCAAATTCAACCTTTATTACCTTTTAAAATAATTGTTATTTGATTGAACCACAAATGCTGCGTTCGGCGTTGTATTTTTAGCAGAATACCTGGTAGGTCACAGTAACAGATGAAAGAAGTATTTTTACAAACTTTATTCTGGCATCTGAGACGATTTTGGAGTATTTTTCTAGGATAAATAAATTAGTACAGCCAGGGTCTCTTCACTAATTAAAAATATTTAACCTTAAAAACCATAATAGATAGTATACGTTTGTGAAAAATCCAAAATATATAATAACCAGAATAACTTTTTAAAGGAAAAAAATTCCTAAGCTCGGAAAAGTGAAATAAAGGGTCATTTATTCGGATGTCCAGATAATCGATGTTCGGATAATTCGAATTCTACTGATATATCAAACTATTTGGTGGCCTAATTTTAATATTGCTGAGTATATTTAATATATGCAAATTCGCTACCACCTCGAGCGCTAATCCTATTCTAATGTGTAAGTGTAAATGAGACGAAAAGAATGTACGTTTGTAACCAATAGCCTTTTAACTATACCTTTTAGACATCAGATATGTGTTATCTGTTGATTTTATTTCATCAATGCATTAAAACAAAATCGTGTAGTCACAGCAAATCTTTATAACTAGATTTCAGGGTAGTGATGCGACTCGAGTAGTATATCGTGACTCAAGTCACTCGAGCCAATTAACTACCTCAATCGTGTCCTACTAGAGTTTTCGAGTGACCCAAGAAAAATAAATTCAAACATGCTACTCGACTGACATTTCTTTTAGTAATTTAAAAGAGTTTTTAGATAGATTAATAAATTAGAGTAGCAAACTGACATCTAGTAGCAAGAGAATAAACTCTATGCGCCGAGTTGACCCAATAACTCGAGTGCATAGAGCCTCGAGTGATATTATTTTCACTCGAATACAAGTTTAAAAATTGCTCTAGTGACTCGAGTTAAAACATGACTCGAGTCGCATCACTATTTCGTGTCGTATAAAGGTTCAATCAAATAAAAAACCACTTAAAAGGTAATAAAGGTGTTTTCCTCGGACTTGACGTCGACTCCAATAAAAAAGCAGTTTAGAATGCATCTGTTTTTAATTTCAATAATACAAGTAGTGTATGCGTATTGGAACAGGCGTGTGACCACGTAAATCTAACTCCAGTCATATGATACGACTTAGCGATGTCATATTGATATTTCATTTAATTTTACTACTTTGACTTGTACATATCGACGAACGAATTCTAAAGAATAGTGATATATGGATTTGACAGTAATCAAAAGAGTAATAATAGACATGTCAAAATAGTAAAATGAAACGAAACATATATTCGCTATGATGTCGTATCCTATGTGTAGAGTTAGGCGGACTCACTATGTGTGTAATGACAGTTTTTTAACATTGTAAATAGAAGAAAAGTATTTATTTGTTAGTTATTTTAAAATGCATTATTCGTGAATCCAGTATATGGATTTATCAATTTCCTAGTGAAATTCGAATATTGCATTTAGAACCTTTTTATAGTCAAATGATGTGTCTAAAATCTAGCACTCAGTATAAATACTGAAAATAAGTGTTAAAGCGAGGTTTATTTTCAAAGATGTGACGATATAACGGATCGTTTAATATTAAGAGGACGCATGAAGGTATAAAGTAAACGACTTGTGTCTTGTTTTCGCCGACGAGGTCAATTAATGAAATGAATAAGACAAATTATATATTTTTACTAGAAAACTCAAAAAAACATTCAATATCACATCTCACCTACATAGCTGTTTAGGTATTTTTATTTTTGAGTATAAAAAGAACATAAAGAAAAAAAAAAAATAAACAATTCACAAATTTTACTAGCCATTTATTTTTCTCTCTTTTTAACTTACTTTATAATAACTTTCTAACATACTTTGTTCTTGCAATTATGTCTCAGTATATATGTTCCAATTATATGTAAAAAGTAGGATAAAATATGTTTATTTTATTGATTATAAACATACCCTCTTTAAAATCATTGGATATATGTAAAAAAAAATGAGATTAGCCAATTATGTAGGTACTTAATATTATGCCTCGATATTTTTAATTACAATTATTTGGATTTTATTTCTTTTGTTTCCAAACAATTTGCTGTTTGTAATTTAATTTATGCGCCCTCTTAATATGATCAGAATATTTAAATCAATCGAGTTTACATAAAGGACACAATGTTGTCTAATTTGTTATAATAGCTTCCAATTATTGCTATGTTAGCATCTATGCTATTACTTAAAACATTTTTAAATCAAAGTGATAGAAAGAAAGAAAGAAAATGTTTTTATCGGCGTAATAAGCAGAAAAAGGTCGCTTACTATAATATCCACTAGTTATTATCATGTAATGACACAAATGTGATTTAATTATAAGTTGTTATTTTTTATATTCCTAAACAAAATAAAAGTTTGATATATTTAAATTTGTTTTATTTTATTCGGTTTTAGAAAGGAAACTGGTAATAATTGAAACTTGAACACTAACTCAACCTCTGTGAGACTAGTTACAGCGGTATTATGGAATGAAATAAAAAATGTTTATAGATTCTATACAACGTTAATTTTTAAGTATATATTAATTTTTAAGTTAATTTATAAAAAATACGTTTCCTGTCGCTCACACTATACAAATTGTGTTTTAGAAAAAATAATTAAAATAATAATCAAATTATTTATGATTGTTTGTGTTCCAAAATTTGTTTAAAGTTTGCATTGCGAATTATGAATTAATGTTATGTTTTGTTTCTTAAATCATAAAAAGAATCAACGTCGTGCACGCACGCGGCTTGCTGTCTAATTGATTTGCGAGTTTACAAATATTTATGTTTTCAGACACAAGTTCCTGTTATGAACTATATATAAAATATTAAGTGTTTTGGTCGAAGATCTCTTCAAATTTTAGATGTATTTAAAAATTAACTTCGTGCCTAATACGAATTAAAGTCGTGCATAGTACTGAATGCCCGTTCAATTATGAAGACTTGTGAGCGATAGATTTTGATGTTTCGCAACTAGATGCGATGTTATCGCGGTCGATGCGTATTCTTTGATATTATTGGTATCCTCTGCAAATAAAATACAACACGAATGTATATATGCTTACAAAAAATAGGTATAACTTTAGGTATCATGTAGGTATTTGACAGTGTCCATTTCGAATTGGGTCTTTAAATAAAAACGAGATTCATGTTATATATTATCATTTTTTATTCACGATTCTAATAGCGCAATTAATAACAGTAATAGAATATTTAAAAACATTAACAATGTATAAGATTCTTACTAGGACGACATCGGTAAATTATAATAGTACATTTTCATTGGTCGACAAGGCCTGTCATGCGGTATTCTGCGGGTTCTTTTGATTGCCAACAATTGGGGTGAATCGATACAACCTTTGTTCAATTCAGGTAGTCAATACCATAAAAATGGACAGTCGATTCAATAGTTCAATAGTTGTAAATGTACAACTATTGAAATATTATACCGCCTGCAAATTACCCCTCATGAAATAATAATTATTATATAAATAATGACCCGCATGCTGACCTTATGGCATGCGTTATAGAATAGGTACACCATTAATAATAATGCGCCATTCTCAGATGATACGAGTATAAAACATTCCCAGACAAATGAAAAGATGCTTTAAGATTAGGATAATTATGGTATCATGATAGTTAAATTTTTTTTATAAGTCGGTTTTGATGTCATTTCTATTGGTATTTGCCAGAAATAACTAATTATTCTATGATAAAAGGGCGACCTACTTTTAACCCTTATTTACTTATAAGCTTACCTACTAGCTAGGTAACTATTCTTAGAAATAATTTCTAATAACATTGATTTTGGAATTTAACAGAAATATCTGTAAATATCTTTACAAATGCCTGAGAATATTATAAAATGAAATACATGCAGACTTCAAAATCTAATATTAAATAAATCAATAAAAAATATACTATCGTTTTAAAATTAGTTGATAAATATTAAATGCATTCTTACATAATAAATAAGTACATGATATTACAGATTGAAAGAAATAATTATATTGAAAATTTTAATACAGGTCCTTGATAAATGGTAAGTAGGTACAATCGAGTAAACTGACGGATTTCTGGCTATCGCATGCGTCCTATCGTCCGTCTTTGGATACTTTTTATTCCGCAGTAATGAGAAAATATTTAAAAATAAAAAGAAAGCACCATAAAAGCACCTTCACTAGATGGCGACTTTAGCAAAAGTTGATTTTTGCAGGAAACGAATGGACCAAAGATAATAATTTCCGTTCCTTTTAACTAACATAATTAAAAAACTGAAATTTGCAAAGTTTAACACTAAGATATCAATACAAATACGAAAAAGTACACATAGAATATGAGTTTTGAAAACTAATTTACTTTTAGACATCTAGTTTGATTTCGGGAATTTTTTTTTTTTAATACTTACTTCCTCATTGTTTGCAGTTTTAAACGTAAAGAGGTAGTCAGCCAACTATTCTATTCTGATGGTGTCTAATTGAATTAAAGCACATATAAGTTTATTCAAAATTATTAAATATAAATGAATAAAAATAATGATTTCATCACAATTATTATAATGACTAATAATATTAAATGCTAAAATTTATTTGCCTATTCTAAAAAAAAATTAAACTATATCTATAACCTAGATTTTTAAGATCTACAAACATTCAATAATAAAAATTAAAATACTTGTTAAATACAGAATTAGTAGAATAAAATTTGAATTAATTTAAAAACAAAATAGCTGCGAAATAAATTTAACAAATAACTGTTTAGGGATGTCTTTAAAGCGTTTCAAACGTGATCAGAATTTCTAATAAATTAAGGTGAATAAGTTCCTAGGTAATTTATGTTTAACAGATTATTTTTAACTTAAATTTCTCAATAAAAACATAAATTTCTCATTTATTAATAAATGCGTTTTAATACGTCATGTTTTCAGGTGGTGGGACATATATTATTTTTACCGTAATAATCTTATAGTTAGGTATTAAGGAATTAGTTACATTTATAATCCTTTGGTTACAACTTACAGAGATATCTAGTGGCTTAAGTCCACTATTTCGGTTTCCTATCACAGGGATGGTGAACCAACGACTCGCGTGCCATTATAATTGATCAAAAAATTCATTAAGCACAACGATAAATAGTAATTATTTTCTAAATAATCAAGACCTTTGCTTAGGAATTGGCACGTTGATACGTGAAGGTTCACCATCCCTACGGCATCAATTTATATTCCGTTGGAATATTTTGAAATAAAGAATGCATTCAAGGATTTGCTTTTTTCACTCTTATTTAACATTTTGGCATTGCATAAAGTGACAACCCTAGGTATGAATCGAACTATACTTCCTCAAGTTCTTGGGCAATCATTTTACATTTATTTTAGATACCTTTTTTTTCATGCAAAAGTTAAACATATTTTATTTTACTGTCAATGCTAGGAGTATTAGTTTTAATGCATTTTGACTGTGAATGAAACTTTGAACAAAGACCTATATTTAAACAGAGTTTATTCGTTACAGGGATTTGTATTTATAACGTAGTAAATCTTAAAATGAAGACACTCAATGCAAAACTAATACCGCTAAAGTAAGTTGGTGATGTAGCGTGATTGCATGATTGCAAGTCGCATTTGTCCGCGATAGTTCCCAGAGTCGCAGAGACGTGCGACCAATCGCACAGACCGACACGACAACCTACTAATGACATAGGTATCTCGTTCTCCAAGAAGAGAACTTGGTACCGATCGTTGATTTGAAAGTTACCGTTAAGAGTGCATCTGTTGAAAAAGTAATGATTTTAATCTTTGCCCGTTCGTTTTGCAGAAGGTGTAGAGTTCAATTATTGCATTCTATGCTTATATTATAAATAGATATAAATTAAAAAGCTCGGTTGCGATAAGGTTTTTAAGTAACTTTCGCGATGGCTGGTAATAGGATGGATGACTAAAACTTAGTATCTCGAGCTCCTCCGTGCGTCAGAAGGCACGTTAAGCCGTTGGTCACGACTGCATATGCTGTCGTTAGCACACACCAATCCGCACTGAGCCCGCGTGGTAAGTTATGGCCCGTTCTCCCTATTCGATTTGATTTTATCCCATCCACAGGGAAGGAGTTCCAGCAGTGGGGATATTAATAGCGTTGTGACGATACTAATTAAAAAAAAAACAAAAATAGCTAATAAGCTAGCTAATGTTAGAGGGAAAAACATTGACCACTGCTGGCAGCACTAATTGTCGATTTCACTACGGGCAACCCTATCTGTCAGTTAGCCGTCACTGTCACTTTGACTTTGAAGTTTGATCAATTTCGCACCAATTCAAGCTTATAACACTATTGGAATCGGCATGGTGATTTTAAACATATCAATTGAATAGTAAAGTGAGTTTTTCACTAGTAATCTAATTACTTACTTGTACAGTACGGCAGCTAAGTTAGCATTGTAAGGTGCTATACTAGAGGTGGTCCATTTCCGTGCTTGTACAGCCGCTGTGTGATAATTATCGCCAGTAAGGGGCGTGGTATCAACCCGACCATCCATAACGTTCACGGCCAATAATATAGACTCCGCGTCTGTTAGATGTACCACAGTCCGTGGCTGCTGAACCATTTCTGTTCCAAATGGTATGACCATTAATGCAGCCCTCGAACTAACAAAACTTTTGAATACAGTGACCCTATCTCATCTAGCTATAACTAACCATATAATACCACATAATTATCAACGATTTTATAGCGCTATTTCGTTTGATTTTGTAAACTTTGGTATGTACTATCGCGGACATTTGTGCTCTTCCACTTTGCATCGATACTTGCATGAATATATCTCTTGCAGTGTTTCCCCACCCACACCTACACTACTACTGCATTTCGCTCATTGTCAACGAATTTATGCCATCCGGACTCTGATTCTTGATTCCACGAAACCTCGGCTTTGTTTATTTGACTTTAATTCTTTGCTCTACGGAATCTCTGCTTTTTAAATTAGACTGATATATCGTGTGTTGTGTTATTATATATCTAAAGTAGCAAAAGAAAACGAAATATCGTTATAATATTCGCAAAGATATCGTATCCTATGGCTAATATCATGGCTGCTAGATAACATCAGTAGGTGGACACACTATTGGTGTTATCTAGCTGAAGTCCATTGCTATGCTACTGGCGCGAATTAACATGACACCTGCAGGGCGATTCTGTAAAAATCCGAATCCAAATTCGAATTCGTATTTGAATTTTTACAAACGACTCCAAAGAAACACATTATTTCAACATTAAGCTCTCGGAACGGATGTGCTAATTAGGCAGAGTATTTGAATACCTCTGCAAGCGTTCTGTGAAGAGTATTTTGAGAAAATATATCCGTTACATTGTTTGTTAGAAATTACACTAAATTTCAAATGAACTCACCATTTTCGGTATGGTTTTTGAAGAAGCTGATCATGTCCTTAATGTAAGAGCAACCAATTTTCTTATTAAGCTCATTACCGGGTCCGTATTTATAATAAGTTTCCAAGTCTTCAGCATATTCCAGTCTTCGAAGGTCTTCTCGCGTAAACACCTGTCATTATAGGGCTTATATTAGCTCTTTGCGTTTGTAATCAAAGATTCAGACATAATGACGACGTTAGTTATCGTAAAGTCAAGATTCTGTTTGCTATATACTCGTTTTAAATTTCCACCGATTCACAATCAGATTGAGGACTTTTCAGTTCTAATGAAGAACCTATTATCTTCCCATTTAAGTAAGTAGGTAGTCATAAACATATAAAAGTGTTAATTTTGTTTTATAGAATATCTTTAAAAATCATGGAATTTATGTGTCAGAAAACATGGGAAATATATTGCACTTAAATAAAATGATACTGAAACAATAGTAATGCTATAGATGGTGTAGTGGTATGTAATAACAACAAATTATGATTGATCGATTAAGTAGTGGATAAGCGCCGCAGCACGCGACCATTATTGTTAAGCAACTTTCGCAAGCGTCGGTCACGGGATGGGTGACCAAAAAATTATTATCTCCGTGCTTCGGAAGGCACGTTAAGCCGTTGGTACCGGCTGCATTTGCGGTGGTTAAAACCCTTCAATCCGCATTGGGCCAACGTGGATGGGTCATAGCCCATCCTCCTTAACCATCCATAAGGAAGGCCTGAGCCCCTGCAGCGAGGACGTATAAGGGCTGATGATGATGATTGACTCACTGTACACCAGGGCGAGTAGTGAGTGACATCCCAGGCTTTGACGTATCGACACATCTGATACATGTTACGGACGGTGGCCATCTCCACGTCATAATTGAAGCCAAGCCGTCGCGATATGTTGGTTATCATCTGAAAAGGTTATATAACCTTAGAAGCCTAAGCTACGTCTGTGAGGCGTACACGAAATATAATTTTTTTTGTACCTTTCTAACGGGCGAAATTAGCGCATCATGCTGCTTAACCTACTTAGAGCTTGACGAGAGCTTGCCATCAGTATTACTAAAATAAGTAGCTATTTTGACTTATGGTATGTACACCTAAGAGACATATGATTAGCCATCAAATATTTTATTAAATTTGGAATTAAAAATGATACTTAATCATTAAAAGTCTAATTATTCCTAAATATAATTTTAAGCCGCATGTTGAGTTGAACGAAGTTAGTTTTAAGAAATAATTAAAAACAATTTTGTTTTTTTTCTGAAATTTGTGTTTTTATTTTTTATTTTTGTAATATTCAACTGTGATTGCTGTTTCGTTCGATAAAACTATGTTTTATTATAAATGAATAGGCCTATCTTTCATATCCTTAAAAATCAGAGAAAGGTATATAATTTTACTTACGGCGTACATAGGAATTTGCGCTTGCACACATATGATTATGCTTTGCGTAACTTTTAGATAGATCAGGCTTCCAGGATTTATAGAATCAGGCGTTATTTTGCGGAAGTCCATTGCTATGACTTGATATCTAGCAACTTTCCACACACAGTCAATATCTACAAGACCCCTCTGCGGTGCATCCTCAGGAATTGGTTGGCACTGTAAGGTCTTACGACTCCTGAGGATATCCGTAGAAGGGCGAAATACGTGTAGAATGGTGATTTTTACGAGTTTGTTGTTGTTTGTTCATGTGAATTTGTATATGGGCTGTGGACGGCAGCCCTGCGTTTCTGTAAAAATCCAAGCTCGAATTCACTCTGGTATCCGAATTCACTTCAAAAAGCGGCATCCGCTCAATCTCGAATCGCTATTAACGTTTCGTGGCATAAGTAAAGTGAGTTTCGAAATGACATAGCAATAGAAATTTGAGACACTTATACAAAAAGTAGAACCAATAGATTTTTTTTCACTAAATAATATGAATTCGGATACATGAGTGAATTCGAATTCGGGTTTTTAACAAATCGCTTTGCAAGTTTGCAAATACTGACCCGGAGTGGAAGTGGCTAGATATCATAATTTTCACATTTATATAATCATCAACTAACCACTGTTAAGTATGAAAGATGTCACCTAGTGGCGTCTGAACCTTAGATATTGGACGCTTTAATGAAAATATTACGGATTCTACATTTTAGAACCCACACCATTAGAAATTTAATTAATATATGTTAGAATTTTGCAATGTCATTACTTGAGTAAGTATATGTTGAATGAAACTAGTCATTGAGTAGCTCGATGGCGTAGTGGATAAGCGCCACGGCCCGCGTTCGTTGTTGTTAAGCAACTTTCGTAAGGGTCGGTCAGGGGATGGGTGACCAAAAATTTACTATCTCGAGCTTACTCCGTGCTTCGGAAGGCACGTTAATCCGTTGGTCCTGGCTGCATTTGCAGTTGTTCATATTCTTCAATCCGCCTTGGTCAGGGTTATGGAGGGTTATGGCCCGTCTTACTTAACCATCTATAAGGAAGGCATGAGCGCCTGCAGTGGGGACGTTAAAGAGCTGATGATGATGATGAATGAATGAATGAGATAAAGGTTGTATTCTACTCACTTGTTTGTATTCTAATTTGGATTCAAAAATCTCCCTCTGTGTTAATGTCTCTTTATTTTCGTCAACATTCTTCTTCCATGCATCGCAGAATTTGTATGGCTGTAACAGTAAATAAATATCCTAAGTAAATTTATCTATTACCTATACTTTATTGGCGAGCATTTATTCTTGGTATTATTACGAGCATTTATTATTATTATAAGTTCGATAGCGCAGTGGTTAACGCCCTCGGTCTGTGATACGGTTGTTATGCAACTTTCGCAATGGCCGGCCATAGGATGGGTGACCAAAAATTTATGACTTCGAGCTCCTCCGTGCTTCGGAAGGCACGTTAAGTTGGTCCCGGCTGTATATGCAGTCGTTAACACCCACCAGTCCGCACTGGGCCAGCGTGTTGGATCATGACCTATTCCTCCTATTCGATTCCATCAGAAGGGAAGGCCTGAGCTCCAGTAGTGGGGAAGTTAATAGGTTGGTGATAATGATGATTAATATTGATTTCTTATTGCATATAAATCTTATATTCTTTATGACTATTACTTACCACCAGAAGTTTTTCATCATTCTCTTTAGGTAAATCAAGTCCATCCGCCTGAGCCTTAAACAGGCCCTCCGTGAAAGCCTTGAAGGTGGTACTGAACAGCTTATCGTTGACATATTTGAACTAAACAATAAAATAAATTTTAAGCAAGTTTCACAAGGTTCAGTCACGGGTAGGGTGACCAAAAAAAAATATTACTCCGAGCTACTCCATGCTTCGGAAGAATACGTTAAGCCGTTGGTCCCAGCTGCATTTGCAGTCGTTAATACCATCCAATCCGCATAGGGATAGCGCGGAGGGTCATGGCCCATCTTCCTAAACCATTCATAAGGAAGGCCTGAGCCCCTGCAGTATTAAAGTAAATATTTTGCTGGATGCTACACGCTCGTACCAAATAGTCATGTCTATTGTCGGTGAACAGCTCCGGAAACTTGCTTTTCCAAGTCTGTGCTAGTTGCTGCGTGGTGATGTAACCATAGCTGGTGAGATCCCCAGCGAAGGTCAGGTTATGTCGAGGGTTCCAAGACCATTCTTCAAGTAAGATTCGGTCCGCAAGACACATTTGGTGCTGAAAGATTTATATATATATTAAATTGATTTCCATGTTTAAGTCTGATGCCTGAAGTTGGTTTTTTAACAAAGCTTGTGAAACTACAAAATTAGAAAATAGAACCGACTTCTAACTTAAAGAAAAAGAAAAATACTTATCTCAAAAGCGACTCATTCAAGAAAATGCTTTTAAAGTGGGGCGGAGGTTTTCTGTAGGTTATTAATTAAATGATAGGCGATTGAATCGACTTCAGTAGCATTTTATTGAATAAGTCGCTTTTGATATTGAGCCAAAACACAACACAACCCAACTTTATGCGTCAACCAGTCTTTATTTGTCAACGGTACTGTTTGTTAAACGCAATTACGGCACCAAAATGGGGCCAAGCGCATTAACAAATTGCGGGGATTATACAACCACCTGTTTAATTCAGAAAGAACATATTTTTTTTGTCTAACATAATTTCACTTATTATATTTAATCAATTTTGCATTTACAATGCTATACTGGTAAATGTTGTCCTGTTAGGTCCTGGGTAGCTCAGTAGTTAGAACAGTCGCCCGGATTGCGAAACGTCGTGGCTTCTAATCCCATCTCAGAGTACCAGGGACAAGGTGATTTTTTTTAAAGCAATTTTCATTAAGAACATAATTACATCTGTTTTGGCGGTCTCCTTAAATTTGAGACGCGTGTGAGATGTAGTCACAGATATTAATAAATTGTTTTAAGAGTTTTAATTATTAATTAATATTAAAGTGTGTGACAAGAATAAAATTTCAGTTGAAGGTGTGGTGTTCTTATTTACTACACTGAACAGGGAAACGGAATATTCCTACCCATGGATAATTCTAACATCATCGACCATCGCACGCACAAACCACGACCTTCATCTTTCCCGAACTGTTATTACGTATATTATCGATGTAAAGCGGACTTACATTTGTGTTTCTTAAGTGATTTTTATAATTATCGATGATGTTAAGCTTGAGATCGGTGAGATTGCGCAAAGCTTCGATCTCATCGGGCTCAGGATTGGTGGAACCGGCCCTGTTCATCGACCAGAAGGCGATGGGTTGACAGCCTGGATAAAAGAAAAAATATTCTTAATGAAAAATACTTAAAAAATCCACTTTGTTCCTGGCACTCAGAGAATGGGACCCGAAACCACAACTTTTGGCAATTTGCAGTCGCCCAGACTGCGAAAGGTCATGGGTTCGACTCCCATGTTAGAGTGCCAGGGACAAAGTGGTTTTTTTTAAACATTTTTTTTTAAAACAATATTTTATTTTAGAAATAAAATAAGCCCATATGAAGCCTACTTATTTAAGATTACCAAATGATCAGATGAAAAAATAAAAATCCGGAGAAAAGGCCTGATTTCCACTAAAAACCTAAGATTTTGTTGCAGTTTGAGATTTTTCTTTCAAATGTACCCATTTAAAAAAAGTCAAATTATGTACACTGCGGATCTCGGGGGCTCACTCGTTACACATCACAAAGTTAGGAAGATTATTTTTAGTTTGTATATTTTTTTATAGAGATCTTTAAAATGTATTGTTTTTTTTATTAAAAATTGTAAGATTTACAAAATCCGACCGCAAGCCTGAGATATGGTAACCCTACACGTAATGGACAGTTTAGTTAAAAACAAGACGCAGTTATTCTTTCTTCATTTGTTTTCTTTGTTTAATAAAAAAAAAAAAAACAGACAGAGCAGACATTGCGCTCCTAACAAGAACGTATTTTACCCTCCCCTCCCCCCAGATTCGGGTCTGCATTGATCTTTAATAATATTATAAAAGTTAAAGTTTCAAACCTTTGTTTGGTTCTAGGGGGTAATCTTCGGAGACACTGATCCGATTTTGAAAATCGAGAGAAATATTATAAAAGTACGAGTCCCGCAAACATCAGGTCGCCTGGCGGTAGGATTTAGACTATGCAAAGGTGGAAGGTGGAGGTGGAAGAAAAGGTGGAGTGGTGAGAATAGACAATTATTAAGAACTACAAAATTACAAATTCAAGAAACTTCATGTTTTAAATGGGATCTTGTCTTTACAGCTTTAATAATATATTTTGATCTTTCTGGAGTTTGTTACGGAATGTTAAGTTTCTGCAATAATTTTAAACTTTATTAACAAGTAATTAAGGCTGAAAAAACAAGAGCTGATCCAAACGTTTACAAAGTCGAGCTCCAGTCATCCAGGCAGAGAAATTGCATTTTATTAAATTAAATCATGATTACAAAACTCATTCGACGCACTGTTGACTGTAAAAAACCTTGTAAAGACAGTGTTATACATAAATAGTTTTGATATGCCTGCATGTTAATTAAAAAACCTATTTTAATTTTATATGTTACTTGTTTATTTACTATTTCCTTTCCTTTATGGCGAGGTGTGTTGTTGTTTTGTAACCGTTTCTATGAACCGGATTTATGTTTGTCTCGTAGTATCTAACATAAACAGTTTTATAGTAATCTCCAAAGATCGCATTTTTAGGGTTTCACATATCAATAGGAAAAAGCACAGCTCGAAAAATTATTAGCTCGGTTAATTTTATCCGTCTGCTATCGTTTTTTTTCGGAACCTACTGGACCTTTTAAGTTGTAATTTGGTGCATATTTATGTAAGTTGGTGATACAAAAGTGGTCAAAAATGTAAACAAATGAATTTAAATATGAAACCTCCTTCTGGGGGTTTAATAGAAATGAGAGAGCATAATAAGAGTAGCTAAATATTTTTTTATAATCTCGACATTTTTCAAGATAAATCGGTTAGAAGAAAATTGCCCATTAAACTATATTATTTAAATTACATTAAATAACATTATTGTGATCCATAAAACTACAGAGAATAAAGTAAAAGAAAATGCAGCAAATGGTTTTTATCTACAGATTATAGTAAGTCTATGGTATTTTAAATTTAATATTTGTGCGGCACCCTCTATGCGCGGTTCCTACTTGTTCTTGGAAGGCTTGGCTTTTTCTGTTGTATTGGCTAGTAGTTGGCCAAACATTCTATAGAATTTTGAATATTGATGTCATTTTTTATTCTAAAACTATTTTATTCTATCTCAAACACATGAAATTGTATAAACAGACTTGTTGGGTTCAATTAATTCACCGAGATAATTTATACCGGAAGAGTTTTTAATTACCATCTAAACTTATACATATAGCTATACCTAATAATGTTTGAGAACGAATAGGGATCTGTTTTTTTTTCTTTTGACGCTGAGCTTGAGCTCGATGGCGAATTGATTAGCACGCTCGTTCTGCGATAAAGTTGCTAACAAACTTTCTCACTGGCCGGTCATAGGATGGGCGACCGAAAAATTATTATCTAGAGCTCTTCCGTGGTTGGAAAGGCACGTTAAGCTGTTCCCGGCTCGTTAATACACGCATAATCTTCCTTTGCGATTTGATTCGAAATCGCAAAGGAAGATTATGAGAAAGGGAGACCTGAGCCCCAGCATTAGTACATTATTAGGCTGGTGATTGTAGATAGATAAAGAATCTAGAACTTTTAAACTTTCACGGTCATTAACATCAGAATGATTGGTAAAAACGGGATCGCTACCATGCACCTTATATTTTACGAGTTCCTGATATTTCGGTGTTGTTGCTAAGTTGCTCAGTGATCATACGCTTGCATACTGTTGGCTATTGTAGGTAGCTATTACAATTTTGTATGAAACAGAAGATTATATCTTCGCGAATTCAGTGTTGCTCCCATACTAAAAGTTGTTCAATTTAATCAACTCATCCACCCCACGAAATCCTGGCATAAGTATAATAATGTTACACCTTATATAAGGTACATAGTAGCAATTCCGTTTTAGCAATTCTTCTGAATCTAGAATTTGTCTGAAATAAGACGAATTCGTGGACACTGGCATACACACTACGCTCTAGCGGCTTTAAGCATGTAAAGACCGTTAATAATATATCAATTACAACTGTCAGTAAAGTTAATGTCAATTAGAGGGAAGCCTAAAAGAGATTAGCGTGATGTGATATCATAATTTAAGAGTGATCCATTTTTCTTATGCGATCTACTTTGTGGCTATAAATCGCCAAAGGTCGATCAATATAGCGGTTCCAATTAGCACTAATAAACTACCGCTGGAGGTCGTCGTGTGATTCATCGTTCTCACCATGTTTATTTTTGTGGTTAACTAGAATGTAAGAAGGTAAATTAACGATGCCATCACAATCTTGAAGGTCTCCGTAAAATATGCTCATATTTTATCAGAATTGAAAGAAAATTATAACAAACGGATGAAAATTATTACATTCTTACAGACGGAATGTTTTTATTGATAAATTATTATAAAAACAATAGCACTTCTACTAAGTCTTTCGTAAGTGGAAGAATTTTAAAATCGGTCCACTAGTTTCCGAGTTTATTCAATGGAAACAAGTTAATGTCAATAATCAACTTTATAATATTAGTATGATATATGGTAGAGCTCCATGGCGCAGTGATTAGAGCATTCGGTCTGCGAATACGAAGGTTAAGAGGCGCCAAAACCAAAAATAACTAAATTGAAAAAAAGTTCAAATAAATTGTAATTAAAAATAGTAAAAGTCCACAAATGTATGACCGTGTTATAAAAACGTACATTTCAAGTTTCTCTTAAGTAGTGGTCAGGTTTGTAATTTATAAATGGAAAAAATTACAATTATTAGGCAAATTTTCGTAATTATACTTTTTTGATGGACAATGGTTGTGATTAAAAAAGATTAAAAACTATTAGGTAGGTATCTTTCGTTACCGATATAGGGGGTGTATTTATACTTTACTATCACTGGTTTTAATTATCAGTACGTTCTCTTCATAGGGGTGACAGCTCATGTGAGCTCGTATATGTGGGTCAAAGTAGGCTATTGTCGGATCCACTCTCTGTTATAGCTAGCTGAGCAGTACTTAGATACAAATCGATGCTATAATAAAAAGGGAAGGGATTACTTTGTTTTTGTCCTTATTTTTCTACGTTATTTTTAAAGGGAAATTGGTGTGTGACATAGGCTATGCTCCTACCGTTAAATCATGCATTTGATCAATTTCTCAGTTACAATGTTTTCATTATGAATATTTTGTATTTAAAAACATCAGGATGTCAGTATTATAATAAATATAATTGAACAAAGAGCAATTTCACAAAGCTATCTATTAATTAAAAACAGTCATAATTAAAGTGCGGTCTTGCCTAATCAGTAGACCCTAAAACTAATAAAACGCAAGCCTGTGGCAGGCCTAATTTATTCACGTTAACGCTCTACAAGACGAGAGGAATGACCTCCCACAATGATCCGGCTAAGCTACGTGGTTCAATGTCAGTATTTTGCGTTCATAATGATATAATAGAATTGCGAAATTTCCAGAGCGAAATATTAGGTCCTATTGTAACAATTGGTTCCATAGCGTTCACGGCGCGAGCGCGAATCAACAACTTTGACAGAAAATATTGTTGGCTGTTTGTTGTCCTAGATTTTTACGGGCCTTCCGGATTGAATCAAATCGAATAGGGAGAATGAGACATGACTAGTGTTGTCAGGTGTCCCGATTTACGCGGGACGTCCCGATTTTCAGGGGTCCGGGGACGCGTCCCGATTTGTACCTAATCGGGACGCTAAATGTCCCGAAAAATCAAGTATTTTTATTTAAAAAAAAAATTTTTTTCATATTGTCAAATCCATATTAGAAAGCCCCTTACTATATTTATCTATGTCTGACAGCAAAAAAGCTACCAAACTAGTACTAATACTTGTTTTTTTGTCTGTCCCGATTTATAACCCCAAATCCCGATTAATTACACGCGCTGTCCCGATTAATAATAAATTGCACCTGGCAACACTAGTCATGACCCACCACGCGGGCTCAGTGTGGATTGGTCGGCGTTAACCATTGCAGATGCAGACGGGACCAAGCTTCACGTGTCTTCGGCAGCATGAAGGAACTCGAGATAATAAATTTCGGTCACCCATCCTATAAACGGCCCTTGCGAGAGTTGCTTAAATTTTACATCGCAAAACACGCTAACCACAGCGCCATGTACCAACAAATAAACACACACGGTGATGATCAGAATGAGAAATGACATGACTTTGTTATAACGTGAATGGCACATATTTGTAAAACAAAATTCCAATTCTAACGCCTGTATCTATAGTCTAATAAAAGTAATTAGGTATGCAAATATTTTAAACAAATAAACAAGAATTTGTATGAGGTAACAACTGTTGATAGAAAGAATACTGCATTACGTATTCACAGTTCTTATTTCATTCAAATTCTCGTCTATATGTCGTTTCACAAGGCCCAAAGATTTTTTTTTTTGAGTACGTTCAAAGTCAATTTTTACAGAAATTAGTTTGTATATAGTTAGTAATCACTTACCCGGAATTTTATGAGCCCTGTTGATGTTAGAAATACCTCTGTTAGCGAATATATAAGCAGTCTTGGTACCAAATTGGTTGTATGGATCATCCTGATTGGCTGTTAGACATGTCTCCTCTGCGCGTGCAAGCGCAATTAAAACGAGGAATGCCGTTAACAAGTGCATAATGAGCTGAAACAAGGTGAAGATGTACATATATTACTAATTTTTCATAAATAAATTAATATTTTTTTGGTGTTCTGTTTAGGGAGGTAACGAGTAGCTAGTGGAATCAGGCGGTGGGGTTTTTAAGTCAGCCTCCGGTGATTTTTATTTTGTTTGCTAGATTTGCAGTTTTGAATCGCCTACAAATAGAAAATTATTTGCGTATCAGAAGCAGTGTCAGGTTTTACCTCTCAACATCATCATTATTTCGTCCCCACTGCAGGGGCTCAGGCCTTCGTTATGGATAGTTAAGGCATGGGCCATGACCGTCCATGCTGGCCTTATGCGGATTGGCGGGTATTAAGGACTACAAATGCAGCCGGGACCAACGGCTTAACGTGCCTTCCGGAGCATAGAGTAGCTCGAGATAACATCTTTTGGTCACCTATCCCGTGACCGACCCTTGCAAAAGTTGCTAAATGACAACGATCGCGTGCCGCGGTGCATAAACACTACGTTACCGAGCTACTCTATTTAGGTTCTATCTCTGTTGTATCATAAATTATCGAAAAATGAATTTCTTTGGTTCTTATCAGGATCTTCTACAAAGTCTCCCGCCGTAGATGTCCGAATCCGATGGCGTAATTTTCGACATTCACAAGTGCTTATAATAGCCTAGAATAAATAAATGATATTGAATATGGATTTGGAGAATTGGAGATGAACTACTTAGTTGGCGTTTTCAATATAGACGTTTGTTCTTTTACATTCATTTGTTCAAGGTCAGATCGCTCTGTTTAAATTTCTTATACCTATATTCTAATCGCTGAAGATTCCAAGGACTTTTCTTCAAGGAATCTTCCCGGACATAATTTTGACAAAGTTATAAGAACGATTTGAAATTTTGCGAAATTTCGTCTATGGACTAACAGAGTTGGCCTTCAGGATAAGATCAGATAACACTTTGGTAAAAAGCTTTTTCGGGGTTAACCTCTTAAGTATGGATTGTCATACTCAATTTCCATCATTAATGTCAAATTTTGGTAGTTTGTTTTTACTTTTCTAGGTGAAAGGTATATTTTTTTGTAATATGTAAGTGTACAGAAGTTCATTCGTATAGCCCCTGACCTATCGCATCATACGATATAGCCATAACATAAACGGAGGTTGTTACTCATTTATATTTCGTTTCATCTCGATAACGGCCTAAATTCCGTACCTGCCTATATATTTCAGGGTCTCCAGTCTTATATAATATTTCACCAGAAATTATTTCATTTCTCGCTTCAGATTATTTATTACTATATTAATACTCCGTCTCTATTGGGATGTTAGTGACTCTAGCATTGCGTCATTTACTAATTTACAAAAGCAAAGTTCCGACAGTTAAATAGAGCACATAAAATTCCGTATAATTATCTAAAATAATGCATGAAGTCATGTTGTGGCTAGGGATAGGTACTGATGCTATAATTAGACCAAGGGAAAATGTTGTCATGGTTAAATGAAGCCATGTCATCGTTTCGTTCGTAAAACTAATGCTAACATTTGGAGGTAATGCAATTACCGAGCTTCGGTATTAAGAGGGCGCGTACACAAAAAAATACTGGGAAATAACGTCCAAATAATCTGTAATTAAAAATGAGTACCTAAACTATCTTAAGATGATTGAAATCAGGGTTGATGCTGATGCGGGTTTTTACTGTATTTGATTTACTAAATATGATATGTTATTTGAAATAAAAAACAAGTTTTATATATACTAATGTTAGGGGTTAAAGTTTGATTGTAGTAGGTCTCTTGAATTGACATAGAATCTTCATGGTTTGAGGTTTTCGAAAGAAACTTTTTTCACATGGTTTCTATGATGTCCTTCTTTTAAAAAATGTAAAACTTTTGAATATCGCCTTTCAATTGTTTTTGTTATTTAACTTAGACAAGAAAGATGGATACGGAGAAAATTCGAATGATTTTGAAAACAGCCCTCAATATCAATGTTGCATTTGGAGAGGGATCTGCTAATGAACGCACAGTGCGATTTTGGTTTAAACGCTTTCATAATGGAAACCTCGACTTGAAGAACGAGCCACGTGCAAGACCGACCGACAGGTGAATAACGATGAATTAAGAGAGATGGTGGAAGCCGATCCTAGTCAAACTACCCAGGAGTTAGCGGCATGGTTTAACGTTACCTTACCCACCATATTGACTCATTTGCGTCAAATCAATAAAATAAAAAAAACTAAGTGCTGATCTGCAGAAAGAACCACGTGTTGCCTTGTTGAATCGGTACAGAAATGAAGGAATATTGGATCGAATTGTGACATGTGATGAAATACGGATTCTTCATGATAACCGTAAAAGAAAAATGCTATGGCTGACCCGTGGTAAAACGCCACAACAGTGTCCTAAAGCAAAACTTATCAATAAAAAGGTAATGGTAACTGATTGGTGGTCTTAGCATGGTATTATTCATTATAGTTTACGATCTGGTCTGGTGAACTCCAAACAATGTTGGCAAAACTAGCAGTAAAACAGCCTCGACGCATGAATCGATCCTCATCATTATTGCTCCATGACAACAAGAGACCTCATACAGCACGAGAAACCGTTTTGTCCCTTCAGGAACTGCAGTTACAAACCATACGTCATGCTCCATATTTTTTTTCGTAATTTGAACAATTATCTACGTGACAAGAAGTTTTCTTCCCAGGAGGCAGTACAAAATGCTTTCACACAGTTCGTGCAGTCTAGATCCTCAGAGTTTTATCGCAAAGGCATAAATGACCTTTCTATTAGATGGCAGCAAGTATATCGATAATAATGGTAACTATTTTGATAAAATAAATTTGTTAAAAATTAATAAACAATTTTGATTTTCAATACAAATTGGCAATTTCATACTTTAACCCCTATTTATTAGAAACAAAAAAGCTTGTTTTTTGCATTGTCTCCGAATCTACTTGACCGATTTTAAAAATTCTTTCGCCTAAGGGATGTTACATTATACGCGGGTGACATAAGCTATAATTGGCTACCAGGGTTGTTACGAATATCAGTATCAGCAACCGCATCAGAAATAGTGATTTTAATGCTGACATTCGGGTAACGTGTTCGTCGAAACCAAGGCCGAGCGCGATTCACGTGGACTCTTAAAGAAAGTTTAAAAACCAAGCTGGAGCTGGCACATGCTCGCCGATTACCATGTTTTGTCAAACTAATTTGTTTGAAGCTGCTACTGTCAATTATTAAATACTAGCTGTTTGCCCGCGACATCGTACGGGTTAATGGGCCACTTGTTTGTTTTGGGAAAAGTATTTTTTTTAACTCACATATGATATTGATCACATTTGACCATTATCAGTTTTTTTTTTTTTTTAAGTGTTAAACTTATACTGATTTCTAAAATTTTTATTCATTAATATAGTAACAAAAACATAAATATTAATTCGTCATTTTAAAAACTTGATTGTTTATTGCAAGTAATAGCGAATAGGTACATTTTAATTTTATAACATTAAAATTTTAAACTACATTTTAAGATATTATTTTTCCATTTCATAGTTATAGAGAAGTGTTAATGTTTAATCCAAGCATTCTAATCCCAATATTCCCAAGTAAAAATAATCTATTTTCAATCGTAGTTAGCCCATCACGTTCCCATGACTAGAAAAAAACTAGTCAAGCAAGAAGGTAAGTAGGTAAGTATCTAAGTTATGTGAGCACTTCAGATTGTGGAATAAACAAACTTAACCTCACATGTGATAACGAACAATAAATATTTTTTTAAATAATTTAGAAACTATCGGCGGTATTTAAAATTTTATTCACTTTTTTACCTTTCTGAATGAATCACCAATCACATAACCAAAATATACGTTATAAATGTTATAAACAAATGGTGTTACTTTTGTAGCTATTAATTTAAAAAGTTCTTTTTGCGCCAATTTCAATCACAATCAACGAATATTAAATTCTGAATTACCTTTTCGCGGGATGATCCAGGAATACTTATTTTTGTCTATGGTGACTGATTGCGCGGGAAAGACGGCATCACTTACGCACGTTTGCGGAGGCACTGCCACACACACCCACAAGCGTAATAATGTCGGTCGACTTGATCGCTTGCATCACGGGGCAGTGTCACAGTCTCGCGGTACAAACACATAGTTCGAATTATGTAAACGTCGAAGCCTGCCTTCAGAAAGCAATGGTGAATGAAATGCTAACAGTTTACGGTACTTGTAAGTTGTACTTAACAGACGTGCCTACTCGACTCGACGCATTATAACTGCTTTAAGGAACGTTATTAACATCGAATTATTGTGTTATGAGTGATCGCAGATGCTATGAGTAAAACTCATTGTTTAAGCTTATTTGAAAATGAATGAAAATAAACCGCTTATATTTGCGGTTATCTGTTTTTTTTTTATAAAACATATTTTTTAACATAGATAGAATTGATTGCAACAGGGTTGCCTGGCAAAATTTATTAAAAATAAAAATCTTAAAAATAATTGCGGCTTAATTAATTGCAGATTTACGCAGCAGGATCTAGTACTATAATGAAGTATTAAGCATTTTAAATAAAATAACTATTTTTAAAAACCATTACATATGCAATGTGCACGGACTGCATTGGCACTGCACGTATAATATTGTTACGGCAGTTGACCTCAATTTTCACGAACATTGACCCGTGCCGGGCATGAGAGTAGTTTTTATACTTTAATTTTATTCGAAGTTTAGAGGTACTTTTCTAGAATTAATTGTTTATAGAATCTATAGAAAAGTAATCATACCTAATTATGACAAATTTTTGTATTTATGTTTATAGTAAGTAGTTTTATACGTTTTATTGAATGTAGTACCTTCCCAATCTTAAATACTAAATAAAACAAATATTAGGGTTCGGATAAATAAATATTTAAATAATCAGACAGGAGCCATACTTACTTAAGGGGCCGTCCATTAATTACATGGTGAATTTTTAGACATTCCCCCGCCTCCAGCTATATCAC